CAGGAGAACATCATCATCAGTTATTACGTTATATTTAACAACCTACGCCTGCCACTTACTTCTAGTCTTACACGTATTGGGATTATATCAAGAGGAGCAGTTCTTTAAATTAATTTGATAAATTGCTGACCTAATCAGTATTTTGCTGAGTTATTTAAGAACCGCGAGAAAATACTACTTGGTATATTAGTCATAAAAGGATACATGCATGTATTTTTTTTAATTTAATCATTCATTGTAACATCGCCATCTTAATATAAATATGATTAGCAATGTCTTAATTGAGCTATTATATGGCTTTGGTACTAAAATTAATCTAATTAATTAAAGGACTGCATCAACAACGATTTTTTCCACATGAAGTACTTAGTCTACAGACCCCAACTTGTGAAATAGATTCCTTCTTATATTCATTTCATCTTCACAAATACATATTATGACTTTATTTTTAGGACAATAATTGTAATATCGTTTTCCTCATTTTATTTTTTAAAGTTTTTTTTTTTATTAATGAATTAAGTATCACCGTGCCAGAGACAATATCCGAGCGTAGGACTGAGAAATCCTACCATTTTATTTGATCATTCAATTGTGCATATTTTTTTTTTGGTAATAAATATTATGAAAATCACACGGTTATTATCTAATAAATTTTATGGCGTTGTTATTTTAACAAGTTCGGAGAGGAGACTATTTGATCCAAACCATCTGTACTTTAGGACAACATTTTTTATATTGGATTATCTCAAGAGTGAATCGTAAAACAACTTGTTAGTAATAAATTTTAGACAATTGCCATTTTGACATGTTCTGATCAATCCACAATCATATCTATCTATCACTATCAAATTTTCGTAGAAACAAAAGTTGGGCGTCCCGACAAAACGAAGCTACTCGTGAAGTTTTAGATTATTATTAAAAAAACCCGTTGGGGACTATAAATACCACACAAATCCAAATATAAATCTGTTGACATAACAATAATTAACGTCACACTTTGTTCTAATCAGTGGTGTTGCGTATCGCTATATAGAACATATTAAAAACAAGTTAAATAAAAAAAAATTAAGAGGAAAATAATTAATTAGATTCCAGTGAATGATTCCAGTTGATAGATATTTAAAACCAAACATAAGCATATTGTATTTTATTGATATACATATAAAGATTCTGGAAGGTATTTGATAAATAATAATAAAATCCACATGAGTTGAAATTAGCTACCGTATGCTTCCGTATGGATAGAAATATAGTAAGACTCATAAAAATATATAAATACTAGCAGAACCCGCTGCTTCGCTCGCGCTAAAATTACGAATAAAATCTCTTATAAGATAGGTTTCATACAAATTTTCATGCAATATTTTACCTCATGGGATGAATTTCGAAAAATGCTAATACATGTATTTATTTAATTGTATTGAAGAGCATTAATAACAAGTTTCAAGTAATTCTAATGATAATTTTTTTCGGTTGTATTATAACGTGTTTTCTCGTGGGAATGAGATAATCTCCTGCTGTAAAAAGAAGCCTATGTCTCTATTCTCCAGCCCCCCAACTATCTCCACATAAAAAAATCACGCCAGTCCGTCATTCCCTATCAACGTGAAAGAAGGATAAACAAACACACATTCACATTTATAATATTAATATGGATTTATCAGTATATGTAAAATTATAACAATAATCAAAATATGCTTTACTAACGGCTCACCCTTGCTTCAATGCGTAGTGCAAATTGTCTGTAAAGTGTCGGCGAGAAGCTCGACGAGCAACAAGTTGCTCTTTTCTTTTAATAATATTTTTGTTTAATAATACGACAATATAATAATGTTTAATCAACCTTCATTAATTAATACGTTTAAATTAAAAATTAAAATGTCTCCTACACAGAATACCTGCAGTGATAATAATATATATATATATATATATATATATATATATATATATATATATATAATATGTATTATTACAAAGTAATATGCTTTGTTTAGTATATAGGTATTATATTGTTTTATAATTCTAGATTGTTCAATCGACTGCTATTTTTTTTTTGAAGTAGGACAAACGGATAACCAAAAAATCAAGTATTTTTTGTTACTCTTGCAGTTTCATAACTTAAAAGCATATTTTAATCAAAATTCTGCTCGCTCTACATTTTACAGCGTAAATTAACTACATATTATATTTTTTTGAACATTTAATACTAGTTTATTGCGGTTAACTTGTGACATTTATGCAACACGGTAACACAAATGTTCATTTTAAACACTAGAAAGTGGATGTTTGTGTTAATGCTGCATTAATACTTAAACTTAACACTTTTATACCCATGTGACCGGGTCACTAAGACATGAAAAATATTTACTTTTTTGTAGACGGATTCACAATTAAGCTGAATATATCTCAAAACACATCTATTTCTCTCATATAACACGGTTTTTTTCAGATTTAAAAATGTTCGGTCACTACCTATTCGCTGCTAATCGCTAATATTTTGTTGGAATACAAGCGTAAATAAAAGTTAAAAGATAATTATTTGTATAACACGATGGTAGGTACCTAGTGATGGTGAATCATATTCTGCTAAAGTAATTTGAAGTATTTGGATAAACTTTCCAGGAAACATAATAATTAAGTGTATTGATTTAAATTTGTTCTAACAAATGTTTACCACAAATATTTAATAGTAGGATATAGGATATCTATACATATAATAAAATTCTAACTAAGCCCAATCTGTACAATAAATATTTTTTTGAAAAATCTTTATTATTGAAATAAACATTATTATCGATACAGAGGCCGAATCTATAGGTTTTAGAATTTTTATCTCTCTGTCTGTATGTCTGTTACGGCATCACGGGAAAACCACTGGAGGGATTTCGATAAAATTTGGTATGATGATAACTTGTTATCCAGACCAACATTTAGGATACTTTTTACCGCGGGAAAATATCTCATTTCTGAGAAAAAATACAAAAATTACAATGTATACTAATATGTAAAACCTAAGTATTTGATTTTTTGTCATCTGAACGCGGGCGGAGCCGCGGGCAATGCTAGTATAATATATATTCATGATTCGCATTTATTTGCGTCTACTAGCCTTCGATTCGCAATTAACGGAAGGTTAAATTATTTAATTCAAAAACAAAACAAGGACGCGTATGATTTACGTCGTTTTTTTTTTTGCAGGTATATAAATCGATAGTGTCAATTAATATAGACACTTAGCAATTTAACAGCGATAGGGCCCGCTCAGACAGGCTTTCTGACGGCAACAAATCTTTTTTAAGAACATTATAAAAATTAGTATAAGAGTTTCCAAAAATGTTATTTTTACTTTAACGCTTTGGAGATGAATCGAGAAGAAACCGAGTATTGGGTCTATCTCATAAACAGTGATTATAGCATGGCTCTTTCCTCTACTAACTATTCCAAAAACCAGTCGGTCATACTCGTATAATTCACCAATAAATAAATTCTACAGTGTATTCCGTCAAACTAGTTTAACGGAAATCGTTATAAAAAGCGCGTATATATATAATATGCTTAATATAAAAAAAGGCAGAGTTTGTTTGTTTGAACGCGCTAATTTCAGGAACTAGTAATCCGAATAAAAAAAATTTTTGGCATTAGATAATTGAGAAATGCTATAGCCTATAAGGCTATATATCATCATACTACTACTCAAGGGAGAGGAGCAGTAATCATAAATGTCAACAAATCGGGCAGACTTCCATACATTATTGTAAAACTGATGTTTATAATATTATGTTTAGTGCGTTAAGCTCAGAAACTACTCAGACTATTTAAAAAAAAAAGCCTTTTGTATAAAGCCAGAGTTTTTTTTGTAGTTTTAGCGAATCCGCGGGTTGTTCTAGTATAGATAATGAAACTGACTAATTACTTAACTTTTGGCTGATAAAAGATAAAAGTCTGCAGCGTGCGAGGTCTCTTGTAGAGCTAATGGCGCCCATTTACATTTAGGCACATTTGTCGAACAGTCGGGTCGTTCAACTGAGTTATTTATTACTTCATTCGAATAATATTGAGGGTCACAATCTTTTAACCTCGATGAATATTCACAATTTTGTATTATTCTTTTTATTATATGTTTTTTACTTGGGATATCGACCCGGTGATGCCATGGCATTTCTCAATGACATATAGTGAACTAGCGACTCACCCACGCTTCACTCGGGTTCGTCAGTAAAATGTATAGTATATGTTGATTCGGATAACCAGCTATCACCATACAAAATTTCATCAAAATCCCTCCAATGATTTATCCGTGATGCGGTAACAGACAGACAGAAATTCTAAAAACTATAGATTCGGCCTCTGTATCGATAATTATAATGTCTATTTCAAACAGATTTTCCAAAAAAAAATTAATGTACAGATTCGGCTTGTTTACAATTTTATTATACGAGTATGTATAGATTTCTTACTAGAGCGCTTTAATCGATATTTAATAATGAAATTAATTATGTTATATTTTTTATAGATGTTATGCTTTAAAGTGGTTGGTTATTCGTAGAACGTATTAGACTCTATGATAATCAGTAAAAAATAATGCTTAATATAAAATTAAATAATTAATTGAATTCGTTGTAAAATAAACTAACAAACTTATAATTTTAGTTACTTATAAATAAAAATAAAATAAAATATTTCTTAAATAAAATTTTGTCGACTTCCTCATTCAGATCACCCTGAGTTCAGCTTATACTTATAATATTATGTATTTACTCTTAATGGGTAGGTATATTATATATGTACATATTTTTATAGCGACACTCTAGGCTCAGTTTGTAGTGACCTTACTTGGTGTGCCAGTAATAGCGGGTTCGATTCTAGCTGAGGACATTCATTTGTGTGGTCAGTCATGGGTGTTTATATTAATAATATGTATGTATTTAAAGTGATATTAAAATGCCCTTGTCCTATGTCATATATAGATGAAATAGTAGGAAACTATTCTATATCCGCAGCTGTCGTCATCTCCGAGCGCAGAGCGCTGGGCACACACGCGGCTCCTGTGCCTGCTGGTGGGCATCCTGTGCGCGGCCGCGGCGCTGCTGGCGGCGGCGGTTGCCTGGGGCCTGCCCGTCGGCAAGGACACCTTCGCCTTCATGGCGGCCGAGGTACGTTGTATCGATTTATTCATTGTTTTATTTAGATTTTGTGTATTATAAGTGCATAAATAGATACTTCTCTTTATAAGAACAAAGCTTTATAATCATGTTTGAATAAGCTTGTTACACTACATTTAATTCTCATTTATAAAATAACATAAGCTCTCAAATGGGACGAACTTTTTTTTGGTTTAAGTCACAAATCTTATACTTAATGCTAATAAGCGAACTTTTTTCCAAATTTTTTTGTAGATTAGGGTCTAAATAAGTCTTTCTATGGTGAATTCCGTTTGAAAATCCGTACACAAATTTTTCGTGGCGGTGTACTTTATATCATAATATAGCGATGATAATTCCTAAACACGAAAACTACGAATTGAATTAATGATATGTAGGTAGTTGTTATGAATATATCATAGTAAGATTTCTTTTTATATTAAAACTAGTTTTATGCACGTGGCATAATTCAGCTCATTATAGTGTAATTTCAATAGTGAAATAATGTGCTCCGGGCCGATTTCGGCCACGGCGGCCAGTCTCACTGAGATTAGCCAGCTGAAGGAGATATTATAGTGCAGCGCGTGTACGTGCAGACACAACTTGCACTCTATATTCCATTTACTCTCAAAGTCCGATGGGACGATACTGCGAAACGACAGGTGAGAGTTAGGGCGCATGTCACCGCCGTGACAAGTGCCGGAAGGAACGGAAGTGCAACACCGCTAGCTTCCTAACTCCGAGCTATTACTGAGAATATCTTAACAAAAAAAACTCAGTAATTACATTTAGTACTTAACCGGGGACTCGAACCCAGGACCTCACTAAAATAACAGTTTGAACGACTAGTATGCTAAATATAGGACAAGGTATAGCACTTGAACGTAGTATTGTGTATGTGTGCAGTGCCTACTGGTGGGCATCTCGGCGCTGCACGTGCTGGCGCGCTTCGGGCTGCGCGCGCGGGAGGCGGATGCGGCCGGCCCCGCCGCATACTACACGCATTTAGCTTTCGATGTAAGTATATAATTTCTTATAATTCCGTCCAGCGGTTTCACCGTGAAGGAGTAACAAACATAAACTTACAAACTAGCATTTATAATAGTAGTCAAAGAATGATCTTATGTAAAAGTGTGTTTGTTTTTCTATCTCTCTGTTTCTTTCTCGAGAATCCTAACATTTTTATAAATCATGTAGTATTGTCTCAAAAATTAATTATTAAAAAAAATAATTTAGAATGATCATATCCTATCTAATACAGAATAACATATGATGTAACTTTGAGTCTCGGCAATTCACTTTCGATCAATACGTAAACTTTCCAAAATTACGTAAGTGCTTACAAGAAGTAAAAGCTCTAGGATTATTATATGTATATTATAGATATTGCTTTAATTGCATAATAGATAGACGAAGAGATACTTCATATAAATTATCTATATTCCACATTATTATCTTTATAGTGTAATTATTATAATTTACTTTAATTACGTATATTATATCTACTCAACAAGTATAAGAACGTGTTAATTCTTTATATAAAGATATTTAATTTAAAATACGTGCGATACTTAGTTTATTTATATTATTATTATTAATTAGGTATGAATTATTTAAGCAACAAAAAAAAATAAAAAAAAAACAAAATACGGGTTGATTTTTTTTTAACAATTAAAAATACCACGTGCTGATAACTTACCAGAAGGTCACCACGGAGCGAATCATTTTAAGAGCTTTTGTTTAACAATTATCTTATAATTTGAACTATAAATGAGAGTTTAAAATTAACAATAGGTTATTTTAATGAAAAATACATATAAACATAAAATATATAATTTAATTGTGTGTAATATTAAAATAGCAGCTTTTTATTTAATGCATATGATATTATTTACGGTACTTTATACAAAAAACACAATTTTTCAATTTTTGTCTGTCTGTTAGTTTCGGCTAATCTAAATTGAAACGGCTGAACTGATTTCGACGGGGCTTTCACTGGCAGACAGCATATTAGATGAAAAATAGTTAGGGTTCCATTCAAAAAAATTAAAACTTAACTAGGGACGAACTCAAGCGAAGCGAGGGTAAGACAAAAATAATAACACAAAAAATACGGCACTGCGCTAGCGCGCGGAAGCATATTTTCAACATTAAATAAAAACTATTAATAATGTAGATAAGTTTCGAGACTCGACACTTTTTCTCGGAAATTTCATTCTCTTTAAGAATCTATTTTTAAAATTCCTCTAGCAGTTTTTGAGTAATTTACAAAAAACTAGACCCCTTTTTATGATCTCTAATTGTTTATAACTTTTGCTCTTTCGCGGGTTTGAAATTGCACATTTTTCTAGACGTCATAACGAATCCAAAGATGTGTCGCACAAATTTTAATTCAAAGTTGTATGAATTAACACGTTTTTCAACTTGTTGACTAGACTATTATGAATACATTTAGCTAGCTAGCTATATCTCTTACGAAACATATTGTGTATGTGTCTCGTGCAGGCGGCGGCGCTGGTGACGGAGACGTGCCACGTGGCGCACATGGTGGTGTACAGCAACGTGGTGGTGTCGATGGCGTCCGTGGTGCTGCTGATGCAGCTGCGCCACCTGCTGCACGCGCTGCTGGCGCGCCTGCGCCGCCACCGCCTCTACGCCGCGCTCGCCGACCACATGAGCCGCAAGTGCGTACCCCACACCCCCACACCCTAGACACTTCAACCTGTCAACCCTGAACGTGAAGGAGTATCAAACTTATACACATGCAAACTTTCGCATTTATACATATAATAGTAGTTCGATATTTCACGGGAACACTTGTTGTTTGAGGGTTTACTGTCTCGGTGGTCTAGTGGCTAGCATAAACGCCTGCATATGCTGAGATCCTGGGTTCAAGTCCCGAGTTGGGTCAAGTTTGATTACTGACATTTTCTGTTAAGATATTCTCAATAGTAGCGCGGAGTTAGGTAGTTGACGGTATTTTACCCCCGCGTCTCGGAGAGCACGTGTCACGTCGGAAGGACATTATGAGGATAAATTGACATCGGGAACTCTGGCATTCCGGTTAATCAGTTATATTTTTACGTGAAATAAAGACATACTAACAGACGCTCATTCAGATTTATATATAGTAAGAATAAGGGTATCCTGATCTGTCTACTGTACCTACACATCGATCAAAAAACTAGATACACAATAAGCGACAAAAAATGTCCTCACCGAATGAGCGCTCATTTGAACATTTGAGTGCGCTTTTTTTAACGCATACAACTTTAAGCATTGCGTTTAAGATTTAATTTACATTGTTGTATATTTATTTCAACTAGAATAATTACCTAAACACAATTGGTGACAATTTTAAGAGAACTTTTCCATGGGATTGTGTATCTAATACTTTTTTGATCGATGACTGTACATAAGTATTGTATCATCAAACGTGACTACCATAAGGTAGTCACGTTTAATGGTACTTACTGGTGTTATATAATTTATTGTTGCCTAGTAATTAGCTAGCTAGCTACGAGTTCTTGCCGGGTGCCGGGTGGTCTGCGCGTTTGTTTTTATTTACTTCGTATCTATTAAATTGTTATGTCTGCCTTATCTATGTCGAACTAAATGATTTCGATCGATCTATAATAAGAAAGGTTAAAATTACTCACACATTGAATTATATCGTAATGGCTTTAGATCAAACGTATGATTTATTAATACATGAAATTCCTTCATCCAATTGACAATACTTTTTTTTTTGCATTTCTATCTTTTAGTGAATAATGAGATTTTTGTCACAACTGCAGAAACACATCAATGCGACCAATGACAAACTCGAACCCGTTAGCTTATTCTTTGTATACATTAATTACAATTACCGTATTCTAAAAATACACGGAGCTGGTTGTAAGGACACGTGATAGAACTCGTGTACTCTTCACACGCACGTTATAATATTAATTGCAGTAATAATTTACTACAATGAATCGTAAACAAGCAAATAGAGTTGTATGTATAACTAAGTTAATTATCTATGATAGGGATGGTTAATGTAGGAAAATATACGTTTACTAATATAATCTATTAGTAATTGACCGCACATCAATACAATAGAAAGTTTTACACCTAAATCGATATTTGACTGTGTTTCTTATCGATAATAATTGATAATTAATTTTATAATAGTGACGCTTTTCGATTTTCTTTAATCTATTATTAATTGTTATCAAACGACGTGTTATTATTTGTTTTTAATATTGTTATAAACCACTAAAACCGCAAATGCGTAGTGACGCGGAGTTCGGCACAGTCGTTGTAGATAGATGTAGCTGTGTCGATACCTGCATAACGAATATGACATGACATCGCCTAAATATAATGACACATATATGTTTATATATACAACTAAATTATTTACTGATTATACTTGTTATATTTCTATAAATAAGTCTCAAAACATTCAAAGTAATATCAGACCCATCTGTAATCAAAAGTTTCATTGCAATCACAAGAACAGTATAGGAACGTACATTTTAGAAACAGACATACATACATATTCGTTATATAAGTATACGAATCTATATCTAGATATTAAGAAAATTCGTTTATTTCCTAGCGAATATCGAAGACTAAAGTGGCGAATTAACTTATGTTTTTATAGTTCCGTAGCCAAAGGGTACTAACGGAACCCTATTAACTAAGGCTCCGCTGTCCGTCCGTCCGTCCGTCCGTCTGTCAGAATACTGCATCTCGTAAACCGTAATAGGTAGAGAGTTGAAATTTTCACAGAGTATGTATTTCTATTGCCGCTAAAACAACATGTAATAAAAATCTGAAAAAAAATATTTTTTACGTTCGTAACCCGTCATCGAAGTAAATATACTACATGCATAGAGTAAAAGTCATATACATAATAATAAAAAGTACATGTACGATGGTACGAAACCCTTCGTGTGCGAATTTGACTCGCACTTGACCGATTTTATTTTAACACGCTTTATTAACTTCACTTATAACTAACAATGTAATCAAATGCTGTAAGTTATTTTTAACCTACTTCTAATTGTGGTATCGAAATGAAACTTTGTATATACAATGTACATATATGTTGTTTGGATGATAATACTAGGTATAATTTGGTATCTTGGAGCTTATCTAAAGTAAACCCCTCGCATTTAGGACCATATGATTCATTTAACAAGTCTTAAGACATTTGTCCAAAACACGTTTTTTTTCAATTTGTCAAAAAAAACCTTCTTTTTTTTGTTTTTTTTTAAACTAAAATTAGCACTAAGTAATGTTTAATACTTTCATAGATATACGCGAATATTTGACATTTTAAATAAAACTGTTTTTTTTCGGGTTTATTTGCGGATTTATTTATTTTGTTTTTAGGTTCCCGGCGTTTCGAATTATTTACAACAAAATATTATAAGTTACTTTGGTGCCATTATTCAATTTTATGAATTCATTTTGTTATTTTGTGGGTAGGCTGTATGTAACAACCAAATTTGTAATGCCTTTGAGACGTCTAAAATCTTAGTCTCTCCCGTGACCATGATTGCTGTAAAGCACTCGAAACTTCGAGAACCAAACATCAAAATAATCCGTGGAAAAATCCGAAAATATAGTGTTATTTAAAATAGCAGTTATATTTTTAACATTTCTGTCTACGTTACTGTGATACATAATTATGATTTAAATTACATCAGGATTTCGCACTGATTCTGATATAATATGATGGCGCGTTTTTTACTTGTATGTTAATTACCGGTAAAATACGCCAAATGATTCACTGTGGGAATCGTGTGGTATAATGGTGTGATGAGTGTGCATAAGATTATTAACCGGAACGTGTGTAGTGAGTGTGTGGAAGTGTATGGAAGTGGTTGGCGGACTTCACATGTCTTTCGAAAACCTGCGAGGTTCTCTCAGACATGCAGGTTTCCTAACTATGTTTGCGTTCACCGTAAGACAAATGGTAATCATGTTAAAAAATGTTTGGCACATGAAAATATCAGAGATGCGAGACCCGGGATTTGAACCCTCTTCACTCAGTTTCCCAAGCGAGCGCTTTACCACTAGGCTACCACTGCCTTTAAGTTATCGTATGTCAGTGAACGTCCTTAATCCGTATAAAATGAGGCCGTTATCGAATTAATCAGCACTTCCCTTTGTTATACTTGTTATCGGCTCGTACTCATTTTTAATCAAAAGTGGAAATTCTTTTGTTTATATTATGTACTTAAAAAAATAGTAGTGAAGGTCCGTAGAATATTATAAGTTTATATCGATATAAAATATCGATGCTAGTTAAGCATAGATTATTATATTTTACACCGATTCAGATTACATATTTTAATGAATTATTATTTTAATAATATATTATATATTACTTTAATATAAGTACATATATCGCTAGATCATAGACCTTATCTATGCCTTCGAGCTAAGATGAAGGTCGAGAGTAAGCCCATTTTTAATATAAAAAAAAGCTCCCAGTCGGCATGATTTTTTCTTACGTCTTCAACTTTTTTTTTACATCTTAACAATTATCGTCATATTTTAGCGGATTTACACAAAACCATAAAGAATTATACACCTAAACTTTCCTTACGAAACTTAGGAAACTGTATGACAATCCGTTTGATAGTTTTTGAGTTTATCGCAGACAGACAGACAGACGCTGCGCGGACCTTATAAGAATAGATGACTAGAAGTAGAAAAAAAGGACCCTAAAACAACATATTAGAATTTCGACGTCCAAGAAGTTGGGTTGCCGCAATTGTTATTAATTATTATTCTTAAATTAATCATCAGTAGGTACAGGAAGTTACGATGACACTGGTGTTAAAATTTACAAATAAACAAAACATTGTGTTTCAAAGGTACATCATACATGTATTTAATTAAACAAAGTAATTACTTAATTATTTATTTACACACGCAAAATAGGCGCATAGTCGTCGAATTGCGGAAAATAGCCCGAACATACCATACCATACTTAATTATTTATGCTGTACAATATGTGTATATTTACAAGCACCCGTTCATTTACAGACACAGTCATAAAATGAAAAGGCTATGATACTCGTAAAACTTTTTAACAAAAAATAAAAACCGACTTCCAGGTACTAAAATGTAAAAAATAACTAAACGACACCTGGCTGGCACTGGCACCGACTTCGCAAATATCTGATTTCAAATAGATACCTCTATTTGAAATAAAAACCTTCGTTTAGTTATTTTTTTACATTTTAGTGCCTGGAAGTCGGTTTTTATTTTTTGTTAAAAAGTTTTTATTTTTCCATTTTTAGTGTAGACGTAATAAGCACGTAATTTGTAAGAAGAAAGTTTTTTAATAACACATTTGATTAAACAATTAATTAAAAAAAAAATTGTTGATTTTTTAAAAACCACTCGACCGATTTCGATAAAATTTATATGAGACCACCTGGGAAGTATACCCTTTAAAGCACAAAAAAAATTTCCAAATCGGTTCAGGCGTCTTCGAGTAATCGGTGAACATACACAAAAAAAGAAAAAAAAAAGATTCCGACGAATTGAGAACCTCCTCCTTTTTGGAAGTCGGTTAATAACCCTAATAATAATACCTATATTCGTAAATGCAATGAATTTATGTATTTTTTTATCATTTGTAGTTGTAATGAATATTTTAATTGTTTTCGTTCGAGCACTTTATGTATTCACAAGAAAATATTTTTTCCTGCTATCATGCTACCCGTAGGGCACGAACAAAGAAAACCTAGTTCATATAAATGTTATTAGATGACGTTACATGTATCCATCCACTTGTTATTAAAGTTGTGTTAAATTAACAAAAGATAAAAAAATAGATCCCATAAAGGTGTATTTTTGTTTTAAAAAATATTTTAAGTGAAGGGAAACGAAGTAATTTTATAATAATTAGTATACATACATACAAACAAAGAAGCAATGTGTTTGCATCTGCATAATATGTGTTATGTCATAACATGTGTTTGTTCCAATTGCCAACCATCTGGTTTACCTAATAGTTTATCAAGGAGCTTATTTATTGAAAGAAAATGTATTTACAGATTTTTTGTCTATATTTCAATTACTTATATATTTAATTTCCCGTGTCTTTTATTATACCAAATATTACGCAGATCGCTCCGCTATTGCCTATTGTTACGCATATTTTTTGCTCCAAAGTTTAAACTTCAAGGCCTATTTTTCGCAAGTATCCTAGATTTTACATGTTTCCTATTCCTACACTTATAAGTACTTTCAATTATTATCAGATTATTTTCTAAGGAAGCCTAACTTATTCAAGAAAACACTTCTATCCTGCTTACATATTTTACGGTTTTTTTATAACCAATTAAGACCTTTAATGTCTGAAGATAAACAAGATTTTAGTAACTAACTTCGTATCGCTCAGGCTTGTCTATAGCAACTTCCAGTGAGAGTGACGCACCCTCGTTTGCCTCGGTTAAATGCTCCATGTATATTGTTTATATGTATATCATCCTCGAGATCACCAACTATCGTCATACAGAAATCTATCTCAATAAAAATTCTCTGTGTGAATTTTGTTATAACCGGCTTTCCTAGTAGGAATGAGGTATTTTATAGCAGTAAAAAACAGAAACGCTACTGTTTCGGTGTCAATAAATGAGGAAAAAACTAACGCGCTTTTACATATATTATATTATATAGATTCTCGGTAAACCGAGATAATAAAAAAGTACCCTACAGCAATCTTATCGTTATGTATAAAAATCGATATCGTATTTCCATTGTTTGGTAAAAATAGAACAAACTGAAAAAAAAACACAACTTCGCAAATACAATATTAGTTACTAGCGACTCACCCTCGCTTTGCTAGGGTTCGTCTCTAGGTACGTATTCATGGTTAGTATAGAATAGACAGACTATATATTAGTATATAGTATATACATATAAATACAATGGTATTATGAGTTTTATATGCCTTACTTGAGAAATGTTTCATTCCACATATAAACTTTGATCCCCATAAGGGATGATTTCCGAATTCCGATAAAAGTCTAGACGAGTCTTTCCCAGGGTCTCAAACTATCTTCATACCAAATTTCATCTAAATCGGGTCAGCGGAATTTTAGTTTATCCATTACAAACAAACATATTTTTTCTCTTTATAATATTAGTAAAGATAGTATAGATTATATAAAAATAGTACGTAAGTAATAACATTATTTATAATCGTTTGTATCCATTTACAGTTACCCGATGGCGAGCGCCGAGGAAGTGCGCAAGAACGAGGATAACTGCGCCATCTGCTGGGAGCCGATGAAGGAGGCGCGCAAGTTGCCCTGCGCGCATCTCTTCCATAAGTACGTGCACATAGTATAGTACATACTTATAATATTGCTGCCTTCTCTGAAGTCTCACTACTGGGCATGGGACTTCACGCGATGCGTGAGGGATAAAATCCTTTTAGACGTATAGGTTTCTTCAGGAAAATACCTTAATTATGAGGCGAGGTGTAGTAATGTTGAAAATGAAATTTGCATGTGAAAATATCAGAAGTGCGAGACCCGGGATTTGAACTCGCATGAATTGGTTCCAATTTATAGCGTTACCACTGGACTACCGCTGCTTGTATCAATTATAATAATCATTCATTGTATATATTATGCTTAGACATATACCTTTGTAGCAGTCAGTCTGACCTCATCTATACTAATAAATGGAGAGCCGATTTTTTTGTTCGCTTATACTGCGATAACTACTGAACCGATCGGAATAATACTCATAACATAAGATGCAGCGTGTTTCGGAGAAGGTTTTAGTATATAATATGTTGGTGATTAATGTACTATGCGGACGGAGCCGCTGGAAAATTCTAGTGTAATGTTATATTAATTACTTATTTTTGGTCAACGGAAACCGTAGTGCATTTCTGTATGTTATTGCCCTTTATTTTCATTTTCTCATAAGTTGAATTTTATAATGACTATACGTAATTGATAGGAAAAACTTGAGTTCGTGGTTTGTCCGCTAAAATGTGTTGCGGTCACTTATCTGTTTTCCGGTTAACAAGTAGACTCAGATGCACGTTAGCTTTATATTTAGGTATAGAGATGTCGATTCATTGGTGTATGAGAGACATACATGATGCAAGCGTGACATATGAGCGTTGCTCGTACAGAGTCAGTAATGCTTTTCATAAACAATGTATACTTTTTTACAACATGACCCCAGAAACCTTTCAAAAAGCTAATATATTGATAAATTGAAAGAACGCTTGTGTGCTAAAAGTTATTATATTTTAAATGATTTTATACAAGATGCACGCTTTGGAAACGATGTGAACGCATCCAGGCTACTTCAATGTTGTACAGTTATTATAATTTATAATTTTACTTATGAAGAAAAGAAAATATAATAATTTTAGTTCCGCTTAGTTTATTTCGTCAGTTCTTCTGAGAACAGAGTCTCATTCTTTGCGAACTGGATTCTGTTCAGTAAAGAATAATAATAGCCTTTAATCAACAATCTTACATATACATGTTTTCTTAAATTTAAATAACTTTATTATTAGACACTAGTTTCGCGAAGATTGTCTTGCTTTATAGCATAGGCCTCCCTTAAAGCTTGCCACAGAGTGCGATTATGTGTAATGTGTAACTTTGATAGGGATTTTTTCAACGTTTGTCAGTAATTTCGTTTTTGAGATAGACAGTCCAACATTTCTACTTTTATGTACCAGTTGTTCGAGCATTTCTTGTAGGCTTATCGCGTTGCTTGAAATAAGTATAAGATCATCTGCGAATCTCAGGTGGTTTAGTTGAACTCCGTTGATATTTAGTCCATATTTGCTCCATTTGAGACGTCTAAACACATATTCAAGAACTGCTGAGAAAAGTTTGGGTGAAAGCTGATCCCCTTGTCTAACACCTCTTTTTATAGGAAAAGCTTCACCCATTCTTTCTGTTCGTATTCTAGCTTTCATGCTCGTATATATGTTCTTAATGAGTCGTATATATTTTTTGTCCACTCTTTGTATTTCTAACGCTTCCCATATCTTTGCGTGTTTGAGTGAGTCGAAAGCTTTGTTATAATCTACGAATGCCAGATAATAAGTAATTCCATATTCATACTTTTCTGGATAACTTGTTTTATAGTGTGAATATGGTCGAGCGTTGAAAAGTCACTTCTAAATCCTGCTTGTTCTTTGGGTCGGTTTTCGTCCAAAATATTTGTTAAATGATCTAGTAATATCTTAGAAAATATTTTGTAAATGTTGGACATCAGGCTGATGGGTCTGTAATTAGCGATATCATTTTTCTTTCCTTTTTTAGTCCAGTAAAGAATATAATAATGAAAATGCCGAATAAAATATTTGGAATTAGAATTTAACGAGTGTGTGTGTGTGTGCGCGCGCAGCTCGTGCCTGTGCCGCTGGGTGCAGCAGGACGCGTCGTGCCCCACGTGCCGGCGCGCGCTGACGGCGGCGCCCGACGCGCCGCGCGCGCCGCTTACGCCGCTGTCGCCGCTCGCGCCCCTGCAAGCCGGACCCAACAACCATCTCTTCCATTTTGATGGTACGTACTCTGTCACCTTATTTCTAAATATGTACCTATTCCAGGCTCCTCAATTTTCTTTACTACCACAACTCCTTGTAGCTCCCTGGTTCCCTACACGACCGTGCTACCGAATTTAGCTGTTTCGTTGTTAGCCATTTCATGCAAGAGAACTGAGCAGCAACGGCAAAAGTTAAATTAATAATTTGTACAACTATTTTACTTTCTTTAGTAGAGTAATTTATGTAATCTGATTCGCTAATAACACGTATTAGGTTCAATCTAAGTTCAGGGCACTAACCTAATAGGTTGGTGCTACTTCTTAACTCTCTCTCTATCTCTAACTTCAGCTACTGAAGTATCAGTGGTCTAAAGGTGTCTGCCTTTATGTGAAAGTTATTGAAAAAAAAAATGACTGAGTACTTTCATGCGTTGCCGAAATTCATAAAATTTTCATATCATTCTTAATCCCTCCACGACCGCGGACACGCCGGCGTTACAGTAAACAAAAAAATTCTTAGAAATTTAATTAATTTCTTAGAAATTTACTTGGAGGTGTTAACAAAATAATAATACTAATCAGTTGCATTGAAATTGATGTCAGTTACGTATAAACAATGAATCATATTAAAATGTTAAAGTTTAAAATTACTTTATAACGCATTAAATTCACACAAAAAATTATCAAATTGTTATTAGTGAACGTATTGTACTGTTTAATACGATAATATCAAAATCATTTGGTATAAAATTACCAGAAAAAATACAACGAAGGTAACCTTTACGAGTACAATGATAGTAAACACATTTATGGTGCATAAAATTGATTTGGCCGGTTTGATTTACATTCTATTACATTGTTTATGACTTTAATTGATACGTGAACAACTTGTCGCGAATTACGTGACGGCCCTTTGACATATATATTATGTCAAAACCAATGTCGCAACAATGAATAGATGAATAGAATTAAAATATACTTAAATACATTTTCTATTTATTATCAAATTAAAATACATAATAGTGTGTCGAAATTAAATGCGCGCAAACTCCGCGCTGGGAGCTCTGGTCATCTCCGTGCTGTGCTGCGTGTGCTGCTGCGTGCTGCTCCGGCTGAAAGCTATGCAGTGGGGCACGGCAGGTGCTCCCGCTTTGTTACAAACATATTATCTGTAATGTTTTCAAAGGAATACGCTACAAATTATATTTTATTTAATATTTTTAAAATAATTTATTTTTGAATAGTAATGAGAAAATGATTCGTAATGCCCACATTTTATATAGAATATTATATATATTTAATATTAAAGATTTTTTTATTAAATGTTTTTTATAAAATGATCATAACGATCAATAAAACAATTTATATTTTTTAGTAAAAAAATGTGTTTGATTTTCTTTTAGGCTCCCGCTACGTATCGTGGTTGCCTAGCTTCTCTGTGGAGGTGACGCGCGTGCGCGAGGCGGGGTTGGGGGCGGGGGTGGGCGGCGCCGCGCTGGACGCCATGGCGGCGCAGGTGCAGCAGCTGTTCCCGCAGTTCCCGCGCGCGCTGCTGGCCGCCGACCTGGCGCGCACGCGCTCGCCCGACCTCACCGTCGACAACATCCTCGAGGGCCGCCTGCGCGCTCCGCCCGCCCCGCCCGCCGCCCTCGCACCGCCCGCCGCGCCCGCGCCGCCCCCGCCGCCGTCCGCCGCCGCCGCGCCCGCCGCGCCTGACGACGGGTGAGTGTGTGCGAGACAGAGAGTATGTGATGCGTTATGCTGAAATGGCTGGTCGAATTTGGTTGAAATTTGGAACACAGATTGATTTTTAATTCCGAGTAACACATAAGCAATTGTTTTTTACTCAGTTCTTATATAACATTAAAATGATCACAATAATAATTACAAATAATAAATTAGTGATATACGAAGGACATTAAAGAAATACATATCTGATGACCACAATATGAATTGCAGGTCGTCATCGGAAGCGGAAGGCGCGCAGTTCTCGGCGAGCGCGGCGGAGCGCGAGGCCACGCTGCGGCGCCGCAAGGACGCGCTGCTGGCGGCCGCGCGGCGCCGCTACCTGCAGCGCGCGGGCGCGGGGGCGGGCGCGGGTGGCGCCAGCTGAGTGTTCCGCGACGTGCTCGCGCACCTGGCGCGCCCCGCCCTCGCGCCGCACGCCGCCGCGCGGCGCTAGCACGCGACTTCAGCATGTCCCTCGATCTTATACTATGTACGCGGAAATTGCATTTAACAAGAAAGTTTTTTCGTGTTAAATAGAATTTGTTTTTATCGGGGCCGGAACCTGTTGCGACTTATATGTACGTGAATAATTAGACAGAAAATTTCAAGTAAAGTTATTAGTAAATCAGCTGAGAAACTCGTCGCTAGTGTGTACGAGCCGCGTGACACTGTCGTACAATAATTAGGTATTTCGGCTTAAATATAGTGTGTATGTTCCTTTGACGGTGACGTGACGTGCGCGAGAGAGAGAGAGGGGAAGGAATAGAGGTAAGGCTGATTTTCGCTATATATAATATGTCGTTGTTGTAGGTCTGTCTGTACATATTTTAGTCATTTAAAAAATATATATATTTGATAAAGCGTCTTCGTCGTGATTTTTAAGGAAATGTCCAAAAAAAAAATAAAAAAAAATATGAGTATTACCATATTATATTAATCTCTACATTAAATTTTAAATGTCTAGTACTAAATACCAGTGAAAATTCTGTCCGTAACAAAAAAAAAAGCTTTTGTAAAAATGCAAATCTTGTCCACAGTTTTGTATGTAAGAAGAATGTGATATGTCCTATTTATTAAATTTGACAAAAAACGGGAAGCGAATGAGCATTAGGTATATTTAGTACTGCCCTATGCCGACGTTGACTTTCTTGTGTTTTCTTTGAAGTTAAATAATAAAACATTTACCCAAGCACAATATAACTTTCGCAAAAACTCTATTTTGATGGCGATGATCTCTTAATTTAAAATAATAAGTCGTTTTTGCGGAAAAGAATATAAACAAATGTCCGCAGCGGCGCCAGTGTCGCTAGTGTCGCGGTCGCGTTCGCCGGGCACCCCCGAAATGTTGGTGCAAATGAAATATAGTGCAAAGCGAGATGTCATCATCTTGTGCTATTTAATAAGTTCATCTTATTTAACGTCATTTTATAGATACATTACTGTAAAGTTTTAGAATATTCATCAAATATATAAAAACACTTTATTACATTTTCACCATCGATCAAAAAAGTACTACATACACAATCCCATGCAAAAGTTCTCTTAAAACTTTCACCAATTAATTGTGTTTAGGTAATTATTCTAGTTGAAATAAATATACAACAATGTAAATTGAACCTTAAATGCAATACTTAAAGTTGTTTTTAACTCAGACCAATAATAAAGTATAGACGGAGCCGTTGTAAACAAACGCGACGAAATAAGTGAGGCAAAGTTTTTGCTTTGTGTGCGTAACTCGGTGTAAGATAGCGTAGATTTGCGCATGTGTGCTAGAGAAATATGTTGCAAGCGTTGTGCTTACGACTCCCAAGTGCGAGAGATATACTTTGGTGAAAAGTTTTATTATAGGTAGTATTGTTTTTTATTTGCCTTGGTTACATGAAATGAAAGGTAAATAAGTTTAAGAGTCGTTTATTCTTATATAAAAATAATTAATAATTTAACAATAGGTACATACAAAACTTACATATACTAGAATAATTATAACTAAATTGACGCGTTTTTCTATTTAAGGCCTTTAACCTTCTGATTAAGCGTTTTGATTTTGCGTGCATGAATTTGATAACGTAATTTATACTTTCTAGCTTGTTGTCCGAGTTTATTTCTTCTGGGAGTGTCAAATATTGATTCTAGTTCGGAATCACGGTTTCGACGTTTAATAATATACCTAATATACTCGAAAACTAAAATACAATAATAAGATTTTAAAAAAATAAGTTGTAACGTGTACAAAAATCACAACTTCCCTTACTTTTGGGAAAACATAATGTTTTTAACTTGCAACATTGACCCAATGGCGTCTAGAACTCGTGTTCGGAGAATTATGTTAAATATTTTTGCGATTTTGTTTAAATTATACAGAAAATCAGTTACTTACTTGAGAAAAGTTATCCCAGAAGACTTTTTTCGAAAACATGAATTGTTTTTGCAGCAGTTTATGACACAGGACGGCTTAATTTCGCAATTATTATTATACCAAAAGCACGTCACGCGCTCTCACTCGCTCGCGGCCGACTACCGAGTGGCCGTCTTCATATAGCAGAATCGTCTTCATATTACTTGCCTCATTACTGTCTATTCTTTTTTATTGGTCTGAGGTTTTTAACAAAAAAATAATAAGTGCGCTCAAATGTTAAAATGTGCGCTCATTCGATAAGGACATTTTTTGTCGCTGATTGTGTATGTAGTACTTTTTTGATCGATACATAAGAAGGTCAACGTTGGCATCGAAACGCTAATATCGTTAGTTATATTTTGTGATGCGTATTGATGTTTAGATGGGAGTTTATAAATTATTAAATATATTATTAAGTTAACCGGTAATACTAATATGTAAGACTGCTTTCTAAGTGGATGAACTGTAACAGCTAGACGCGTTAGTTGGTCTTACTTCATTATTAAAACTAATAATGGATGCGAAAATAAAATTTTTAGGTTTTATTATCAATTGTATTGGCAAATATGTTGAAGTCCGGTTTTCAGATTGAATGTGGGCGGAAGCATTCTGCTCAAGCTCTTTGCCCTGTAACATGCGTTATTAGACATAATCGTTCGTCCCCAAGCCTAATATTATATGTATATATAAATGTCCACGATACAATGTATTAGTAGCTTATAGTGTAAATATTTTACTTTTTGTTCGATCGATGTTACTTAGAAGCGAGTTACTTATATTGATATTTAAAATGTATTTTTGTAATTGTAAGTTACGATTTGTAATTAATGTTGTCCACGTTATTGTTGATGTGATGTACTCGTGTATATATATACTATATATACGTACCTTATATATTATAGATCTTTGTAACCATAACTATAATATTATAACATTTTGAAATGTCTCACAGCTCTTATATGAATGCAGTATTCATTTTACTGGCACATTTTAATCGAATCATAGCCTAAATTGTTATAGATAATGGCACTTTAAAAAAATAGTTATCCATCGGTGGTAATTATTGGAAAACCTTTGAAAAATAATATATAGTGTGTACTTTTAATGTTTGAAATCCTTTTTTATACTTTGCATTGTAAATAATATTTGTATAAATATACACAGTGTTTGTTGTTTCCACACTAAACAATTTTTCTACATACTTTCTACTTTCATTCGGATATTATTAAAAATGTATGTAAAATGTAAAAGTATTAGAGGCTATATGTTTGTATTTATGTAAATTTTGTATTTTAAATACGTGCATCGTATTATAAATATTTATCTATATTTGTCCATTCAACTATAAATAAGTAAATTGTAATGGTGGATCCAGTTGCGACTCGACTTGACTACAGCAAGTGGCATAATATGATTTTATTCCATTTACTTCATTTAATAATTAATATATTAAAACAATAATTGCATAATAATAAATTAATATTTTGTATTTTTTATACATACATATTGGCATACTAGTTAGTACTCCCTAAATAAAAAAAAATCTCTTTCTCCTTCCCTGGATCCAACAATATAATTAATATATAGTAAGTGTTATATAAATTCTGTATACGTTAGACATCAAATTATACTTTACAGAGTACCTAGAGGTTAGTGATCGTGTACATTGGTGTTGTAATTTGATAAATGTTAATAGGTTTTATTTTTATGGATTATTCTCTTAAAGCTCATTCTGTACCTAAGTACTTATGTGTGAAAATAGTGTTAAGTATTTTTTTATTCTTCTTTTCATTGTCGCGACATTGATATTGATGTGATTTGCAAAATGTTTAGCCTCATATCCAATATACATTCTTAAATCGCTTCACTCGGTAGACTCACTTGCTGGGTTGATAATAATGTTATAGGAAAACGTAAAATACTGGATTTTTATTTTAAAGGACTTCTTAAGAAATTAAGTTTATTTGATGAATATGAGGCTACAATTTTTGATATGTGTTATATCTTAATATGTCTTATATGTAACTAAAATTGATTCAAGACTAGTCAAAAATAAAATATACTAAAATATTGATTTTTTATTTGACATAAATATATGTGAGTACCGTATTTATTTATTAGAATATTGTCTCCCATATACAACATGCAATGGATAGCAAACATTTTGTTGCTGAGGAGAAATAAAAAAAAGAAATAAAGCATTAACTTCTGAGTTGACTAAAGACAATATTATACCAACCCAAAAATTTTAGTTTTATAATCATAAAAATCTAAATAAATCTGCAAAATAATCTGAAAAGATAGTTTTATTTTAAAAGTATTTTTTTGCTAATCTACATTATTACATATACTAATATATAGCTGAGTTTATTTGAATACTGTAATCTTTAGAAATATCAGTTGAATTTGCCTTTTTGTATTTTATAGTCTATTTATTAAGTTGATAAATAAACAGAGCGCAAGTTTTGCTCATATTCAACTATTACCTTAAAACAAGTCGAACAAAGTTTGGGAATACTACAAGTGACTTAGGTTCAAAACCTGGATTTCGTACCTCTGATATTTTCATGTGAAGCATTTACATGATTACCTCTTATCTTAGAGTGAAAGAAACCTAGCAAGTTTTCGAAAGACATATGAAGTTCAGCCACAGCGGGCAATCTCATTAGTGCTAGCAAATTTCGCACAGGAGATATACTTCTCTCGTCTCTATTCCTTAGGCTCTTAAACTGTGATAAAACAATAATTTAAAACAACCAGTTAGAACTAAGGTTTTTATGATTTTTAAAGCTACTTAATAATACATATAATATGTACAATCACCTAGTAATAATTTTAAATCAAACAACTAAAAATTATCATTTTTTATCACTTCATGTTGCATATTTTGACATTTTTTTACAATCCAGTCACGAGCAATGTATAATTTAATAAAACATAACACACTTTAAACCAGACTTCGTAAACATGTACAATGTATGAAACAAATAAAATATACTATTTTACTCCATAAACATATTTAATTTGAAAATAGTATTTACAAATTTAACCAATAAAATTAATAACTACAATATGCAAGACAAGGTGTGCAAATATGAAGTCAGCAAATCCTCGTTCCGCGCTCAAGCCCAAAAACTCGTTTTTGTTCTCTGGGTTAACTTGTAATCTTAGGCAAACTGTAAGAAATAATACATGGTTATTAATATAAGTCTTAGTAAGTTAATAATTAAATAATGTGAGTTTTCTTACCTCCCAGCACAAAACAGCTAACTGTAGAAATAAATCCACTGAGGAAAGAATTAAATGGGAATGTGCCCACAAGGCAGCAATATACGAACTGGATAACTGCGGTCAAAAACACATATAACAAATACGCATCTATTATTTTCAGCTTTTTAGGAGTTTTAGTTGTGTATTCCTGATAAAGTTTAGGGATGACGGACGCGAGGGAAGTCATTTTTCTTAGCAAATACAAATTGGTGCCCGGCTTTTTCTAGTTTTTTTCTTTGATTTGGACTTTTGACGTATTTTGACGTGACGTGTACCAAATACTAATTATACTGCAACAGATTAAAAATTAAAATATATTTTTATCATTTTTATTAGTCTAGCCTTATGCCCGTATAAATTTAATGGATAGATAGCATAGGACTTTCAATTTTCGAAAGACAAATTATGTGATTTCAAATTGTATTGTTTTACTCCTAAATCATGAAGCATAGTAAATAATAATATTTAGATAATAAATGAAACGTTCTAAAAACAACTTTAAGGAAAATTGCCAAAGATAACACAAAATATTAAGAAAATACATTTACAACTTTGAAAAAAGACCCGGGCAGTTGATATAAAGATTAACAGACACTAAAGAATAAGAAGTCTTTTTCAAGTTCAATGAGCACATAATAAATAAATGCTGAGATTATTTAGAGTTTAACACTATGAATCCTAAAATAGTATTGATTAAAATATAATATGTACCTATACATATACGCCTTATACTCCTTAGAATTTACCTAAGAATTTACTTAAGAACGATACATTATTGCAATTTGAGCTAAGCAACATAACGTACGTAACATTTACAAACTTATTCATATTTAGCAGTATGACTAAAATTCTTGGATTAAAATATTTCGATGAGCTTTTAAACGACATCATACCCGGTACGAACTGACTATCCTTTAAAGTTGTATCCGCTTATACCATAAATAAAACTAAATAAATTATACAATTATGAATTATATAACAATTTTAGCAAATTATATATTTTATAGACATTTTGAGTGCACTTGGTGTTTAATTTTATAAATAAAAAAGTAAAATAAAAATACACCTAACTACTTTAATACATAGAGAGGCTTCGTTATTATTATCAACCTTTAAATAAAGTAATAAGCACACTGTATAATGTATACGTAATTTAATTATATTATGCAATAATAAGAGACACATAATTTTTTATACAAAATTTTAAACTGAAAACACATAAGGTGAACTTTAAATATTATTAAATTTAATAAATATCAAAATATTTAAGAATTATTGTATCAAATGAAACGTCAATGAAAGATACGTGAATAGGAATTTATATCAACAAACGAAACCGCTTGTCATATAATGTACTTGTCAAAATTGTTCTTGAATTGTGCATGTCATTCGTAACCATTTAAATTTAACATTGCATTATTACTTCTTCTAAAACTTGATTAAAAAATGTTGAGCCTTAACGAAAATTTTCCTGAATATGCGGTGCCTGGGGCTAAACAAGTTCGCTTTGAACCTTACGCTGACAACGGTGGCAGCGTCGTGGCCATCGCCGGTGAAGATTATGCTGTTATAGGAGCTGACACTCGTCTCAGTACTGGTTTCTCTATCTACACCAGAGAACAGAAAAAGCTCTTTAAACTCTCGGACAAGACTGTACTCGGAGCTACGGGATGTTGGTGCGACACCCTCACACTTACTCGACTGTTGCAAGCCCGAATGCAAATGTACGAGCACGAACACAATAAAGCTATGACGACTCCTGCAGTAGCTCAGATGTTATCTACTATGCTTTATTACAAAAGATTCTTTCCCTATTATATTTCGAATGTTTTGGCCGGTCTGGATGCTGAGGGAAAAGGATGTGTCTACAGCTATGATCCCATTGGCCATTGTGAACGATCCAATTATCGGGCAGGAGGCTCTGCTGGAGCTCTACTGCAGCCATTGCTTGATAATCAAATTGGACTTAAGAATATGCAAAATGTTACCGAGGCTCCACTTTCTAAAGACAAAGCCTTGGCCCTTATAAAGGATGTTTTTATCAGTGCAGCAGAACGTGACATTTATACTGGTGATTGCATCTACATTTTAATAATTACTGCAAGTGGTACTCAAGAAGAGAAATTTGATCTTCGTAAAGATTAAAAAAATGATACATTTTTGTAATAATAAATAAATATTGCTTTAAATAATATGCTGTTTAATATTTTCAATAATTTTAATACCTTCTGTTAACAAAACAGACATAGAAACAATGAACTGAATTTATTCTAAAAATAATTACATAAAGGGTAACTACAATATAATAATTACATATTTGTTCATCTATTTACAAATCTCATCCCAAATAATTAACAAGTTTAACACACTATTTATTGTATTTAGGCATAACAAATATATTCTGAGGGAAGATTTTTTCAAACATTTCCTTTATGACTTCTTGCCTCGAGTTCTCCCCTAAAACTGAAGCTTTAATTCTTGGCGGTACAGTGTTTCCCGCCAGCAGTGGATGAATGTTGTAGCATAATTCAACCTTGTCTTTTGGGGGTACTGTTACTGAAAACTTTTTGTAGCCTGAAAACATGTATGCATCTGATCCTTCAACTGTAAGACTGAGTCTAATGGGTGTGTTAGTATTACCTATTAATGTACATTTCAGTGGAACCGATGTCTGTAGGTCTACCACTTCAGGATAATTGACTTCAATTGAAATAGGGCAATCATCAATAGGAATACCAGATAATGCAGTACTACTCATGACACAATGGCCGTCTACATTACTTTTCCGCTTCCATGTTATATTATATAGCCCCACTCTCGGAGGCAGATCTTTTGGCTTAAACTTAGCCTGTATACATACAGCATCAGATGCAATATTTTTCTCAGCCACTTTTAAATTACTTATGCATGAAGGAGGTTTTGATTCATCTGCATATTTAAAATAATCTACTGTTTCTAACTCCGTATTTAAAATAAGCAAATCCCATGGGCTTAAAATTTTAATTTGAGGCATTACAATGAAAGGATCATCAACAAAGCACTTAGTAATAGGTTTAAAATTCATTGCTACAAAGTTAGTCAGTACTTCAAATGGTTTGATGACTGCAATTTTTGTGACGAAATCTTTTACACATTCAAGTTTAGGAGTGTTATGGAGATCTATGTGGTAGGATACTTTTATTTGCACTGTAGCTGTTGCAGTTCTATTTGTTTTAAGAAAAAATGTATTTGCGTATGCTGATGATTTATCCAAATCACCCACAATAACTTTTAAAGGCTGAGACTGTGGTTCACCTTGTTTAAAACTTAAATCTGTAACAGATTCAGGATTTGGGTTTTCTGGTGAGCTCAGAAGTGAAAGAAGTATATTCATATCTGTCACCAAACTCTCCTCATCATTTGTTATCGTAAAGGTGGTTGGAAACCATTCACCTTGTAAAGCAGGCACCGCATTATCAATTGCTAGAGATAATCTACATTCTCTGCTTGTAATACTTGTACTAATTAAAGGCACAATAGAATCAAATTCATAATCAGATTTAGGGCTCAATATGAAATGTAACAACTCTGGATGAATAGTGGGTTGTAAGGCTTTATTCTCTTCAATTTTAAAGTTCATAACAATCTTCCGTCTTCTATCTGCATCTAAGATAAATGACACATGTTTTATATTTAATTCTGAGCCATTATCTTGAGGATTTGATTTGAATTGACACAAAAATCTCTTCACTTTACAACCTTCTAATTTTAAAACAGTGTTACCATCATCAGTTACTGGAATTTCAATAGTTTCGGTGTTACTGGATATTGTTAGATTTGCTGCCTTTATATCAATAGCTGTGTCATAAGTCAGACGTATATACAATTCAACTTCTACTATCTCATCCATTCTATACTTTGGTTGCTTAAATCTTGCTTTAACTTCTATGAAACTAGCTATGTTAACCATATCAATAGTAACTGTGAATGGTTCCTTTTCTATAGCCATCTGCCACAGCTCCAGTGCTTTACTTTGAGATGAAGCCGGCAAATCAGGTTCTGGAGCTGGAATGTTTAAATGAAGAACAGACATAACATTTCTAAATATTCTGTCCTTATCATTATTTGGCACTTGTATGTGTCTTGACAGTGCTTCCACAGAAAGCTGAATGTAATCTTGTATTTTTGCAGATAAGTAAGCACATTGGAGAGCTCTATTTAATACATGTGAAGCTAAAAACCACCATTTTTCTCTTCTATAATCCCAAAGCATGTGAGTCAACAATGTTAGGGCTTTACCATAATCTGCACAGTAGTAATATTCATTTGCCATTTCAACAACTAATTGTTTTCTCATCCTGGGTGAATGGAATGTTTTGAATTGAGAAATCGCACTACCTAAAAAGCTTATTATCATAGTTGAATGATTGAAAATTCTTTCATTATACTGCAATGCCAGAACAGCTGCTTGTTCCTTTTGAGGATCATGAGGATCAGCACTGAGTCTCCCTGGTCTCCATGGTCTTTGACCATAAAATTCCACTATACCTTCCATTGGGTCTGGTGGTGGCGGATACTGTAGAGCTTCACAACACACTGATCGCATTGCTTGTCTTCTCTTAACTGTAAATTGGGCAGCATATTGATAATAAAAGCCTGGGTGTTGTGATTGTATACCAGGAAGACCCACTCTGATGGCTTCATCAAATAATTCTCCAAATGCACTATATTGCCTGGCAATCCAAGCATAGTGTTCAAAGAGAAGTTCAGTGGGCCCAATTCTATTTTTAAAGCGTTCTATGTGTGATTTAAGTTGTGCAATGGCATCACGTGCCAAATTCAATGCAAATAGTAGCTTACAAAGTTTATAATTTATATATCCTGCTACAGTTCTTATTTCATGAATATTTGTATCTACTTGCCGGGTCTCATATAAGTTGTTATAAGCATGCATGTAATGCTTGTGCGCTGTGCTTAAATCTTGTTTTAATTCATTTAGAAAACCAAGTTTGAACTGATGTCTTACAAATAAATACTGATGGGTTGTTTTATTTAAATGATCTCTATGTTGTTTAACATTCTTTGTTTCATGATGATAGTAATTCTGAGCAATATCATAGAAAGCATTCTCTAGTCTTATTATGTATCCCATTAAATGATCACTGTGAGGAAGAACAAAGAGGGACTTAGATTGTATTTCACATGCAGAACATAATGCCTGAGCCCTTTCTGCTCCCAACATATATTCAGAAGGTGGAGGTGAGAGACCACTTTGAACAACTACAACTGCTACACGTGTAGCGTGTCCTTCGACTGCAGCACGTATGGATTGCACTCTCGAGGCACATTCTATAATTTTCTCGTTCCACTGAGGATCATTCCATTCCATGTCATAAAATATAACGACCACGGCTGGTATTAACGATACACGCTTCTGTATCCAGTTTTTCTTTAATATTCCTTTCGGTATATACCATTCATATGAGTTTCGTTTAGGTTTTACGACTGGGAACTCGAAGGTGTTATTCAACAACTTGAATCTAACAGAAGCTCGATCTGGTCGCCTGTTATTAGAAAACGCATCCCAAATAGTTTTATGAATAGCGTTATTTACTGTGTCCAGTCCAGCGAGCCCGATTAAAGCTAAGGGCTTCAGAATAATCTCGGGCGGAAACTCCGTGTTGTCACTTGGCTGAGTCGCCATCCTTACAACTTTACCTTTGTCAATAGGGGAGCCGGAGAGGCGTAATTTCTATATTCTTATTTCATAACATAATATATACACAATCTACAAAGTGAAGACTTTACATGTAGTTCACTACGATAGCGACCTCCAACACCCCATCATTACTCGTCAACCAAGTAATGTCATTTTCTCTTGACTTATGATTTCTTTTAATAATTTTGACAGCTTACAGCATTGCGATTCTTTTTGCAGATGTTTACGTCTTTGTTATATCAATATCAACGTTTTCAAAATTTCAATCGGTGGTACTTTTATACTGAATTTTTGAAATGACTTTTGATTTTATATTTTTCTTAGTATATTTTGTTTATTTTTATATAATTTAGTAAATTAATTTTATTCAACGTTGTAGTTTAAAAAATGCGTAACATGGTCCCTTTTGATACTTAACAAGTTGACACTTGACAGTGACGTTGACTTTGTTGTTTTGTATTGCGTCTATTGACAAATTAAATAACCTTTAAAATATAGTTTCTAAGTGTTTAAAAATTTGATTAAATCATACATCTTTGTATCATAAAACTAGTAGCCATAATTCTTGCTGTTTTGTGAGTATTCGGATCTGATAATTTTGTAAAAATGACTTCTCAAGCTTTGGCTTCTCTTACTGCAACATATACAGATTCAGAAGGTGAAGAAGATATGGAAGATGGACAACAGACACCAGAGAAAGACGAGCCTAGTAATACATCACAATCGTTGCCTGCTAGCCCGAAGATCATGGAAGAAATAAAGCAATCTGCATCGGTACCAGTTTCTCCTAAACGACAACTAGTTTCGTATGTCGATGACACAATTGTTTCAGATGAGGAGCTCCTTTCACCGAATGCTGAAAATCAAGATGATATGCGAAGATTATCGATGGAAACCGACACTGACGAAGCAGTTCCGAGATCTGATCATGATGACTCAGAAGATGGAATATTAATACCTCCAGAACCAGCTGGCAAATGCCCAAAAGAATTACAAGATTCAATAGCAAAATTCTATAGCCGCATGATGACAGAAGGATATGATATGAACAAGATAATTCAAGACAAAAAGAACTTTAGAAATCCTAGCATTTATGAGAAATTGATTCAATTTTGTGACATAAACGAGTTAGACACAAATTATCCCCCAGAAATATATGATCCACTGAAATGGGGCAAAGAGTCATATTATGATGAACTAGCAAGAGTTCAAAAGTTGGAAATGGAAAAGAGAGAGAAAGAAAAAAAAGATAAATTATCCAAAATTGATTTTATTTCAGGAGTAGCAAAGAAATCTGATAGTGATGATGATAAAAAGCGAAAATCAAAATGGGATCAAGCAGCCCCTAATGTAGCATCTAAACCAAGCATTAAACAACCAGGTCTTCTTCAACAACCCCTCACCAGTAATGTGACAGGAACTAAAGGCACAGTCATTTCAGCATTTGGTTCCATAGCCAAAAAACCTAAAATATGACCTAGAATAAGGACTGCGAAATTAAAATAATTGTAATAAAACAATAATTTTTATTACTCCAAGTGCAAGGAATTTGTCAAGTTATTTGTTTAACTAACCATGTATAAAATAAGTATGTTAGTAATAAAATTATTTAATATCAATTTCAAAGGTTTTTTTGTTTTACCATAGTTATGCTACTGTTTCACTTTTTATTTCTTATTATGTGAATGGAAAAAATGAAGTCTCATAACATATTGTATAATTATGAAACAATTTTGCATGGATATGATGTAATTCTCAGAGACTGAAATATATGCTACATGAAAGTGTTAAAAAATATTATACACAAATATTTTAAATATTAAGTGCCAAAAACTGTTATAATACATGAAAATATAATAAATGGTAAAATACCTTAACTTATATAATTAATGAAATTCAATGATACATAAGATCTTGTAAAATAAAATGGATATGAACATGGATACAGACTTTTCCTGCAGATCTGTATCATGGATATCTTATAGATCACTACAAAAAAAAATTATCTCCTACATTTTCTATGTTAGAATTAATAATTATTATATTATTAATAATTATAATTGATAGGGGTTGGAATTTAAAGTTTTTTTAAAGGAAATTATTTGTAAATTAATTACATCTATACTTATTATAAAAATAAGTCCCCCGGCCGCGTCTTTCTGTCCTCCTGTCTGTCCTCCTGTCTGTCCTCCTGTCTGTCTGAACGCGATAAACTCGAAAACTACTGAACGGATTTTTATACGGTTTTCAACAATAGAAAGAGTAATTCTTGAGGAAGGTTTAGGTATATAATTTATTATGCTTTTATGTAAATTAGCTGAAATACGGCGACAAATGTTGAAGAGGTCGCAAAAAATCTCGCCAAATGGGAACTTTCCACGCGAACGCCGCGTAAACTAGCAAAGATACAGTTAAGTAATGTACTAGAGAATTCAAAATCTATAAAAATGCTACAAAAAAGTCCGCGATAGCATATCTCTATCTCTTACGGTTGACTTACAAAACATTACGTTATTTTCAAAGTTATTTTCTTTAGTTCGGTATTAATCCTTATCCAAATGAATATTTTAGTTAGCTTAGTCATTTAATGCAGAAATTAGTAGCGAAACATTTTTAATGCTTGGCGAGCATTGAGATGCCTACGGCGAGTCCATCCCCTCTGCCCCGCATCGCTCGAAAATACAAAAACTGCAATGTAAGAGTATACTAATATGTAGTATTTATATAAGAAGAATATACATTTATGATTAGTGTACTATAGAAGTTGTTGGATTGTGATTGTCTACCTCATATGAGATTTCAGATTAATTATAATAGACACAATAGCAAAATTTCCTATGTACAGTCTCCAAAATATGTACTAGCGGCTCACCTTCGCTTCGCTCGGGTTCGCCTCTAGGAAACAAATACCTATCATATGGGAACCATACGTTTTTCCGGAAAAAAGTAGCCTATGTGAGCTCTCTGAGCCAAAGTTCATCCAGATCCGTTCAGCCCTTCTGGCATGAAAAGAGTAACAAATACTTATACTCACAAACTTTCACATTTATAATATTAGTATAGATTTTTTTTAATTCATGTTATTTTGTTTGTGCTGTTTTTATTTATAAATAAACCTTACTTATTGGTCGTTTATCATAACAAACTATAAAGAAATGCAACGCATTCTAATATGCATTTTAGTATGTGAGGAAGCTGAAACTTATTGTGCTTAATAATTAATATTGTTTTTAAAATCGAATCATATTTAATCGATTACATCTACGATCATAATTAAATCCATATGGCAACACTCGAGAGCGGGGCTGAGACGCGGGGGGCATATATAATTATAAAAACAACAAACCTTTGTTCGCGGACAAAATTGTTTATCTGCGTGTGACAGTATCGCGAAGTGCTTGGCGTTTTATATTTGACATAGCGTTTATTTTATTTAATTGTAATTTGTAACATTTGAAAATGGCTGAGGTGCCTGAAGGCGAAGCGATCCCCTCATCGAGCGAGAGCACTGAGAGTGTGATTGTAGATCCGATTGACGATGAGGGGCCTTCGCCTAAAAAACGTAAAACGGTAATAGAAAATGAGCCGAGCGAAAAGCTGGAGCACAGACTGGGCGGCATTCTGTGCTGCGCAGTTTGCCTCGACCTGCCCCAGGCGGCCGTGTATCAGGTATTTCAAAACAGCTGACAGACAGCCATCTGCCTCATCAGCTGTTTTATATTTTTATTCATTGATTCACATAATTTTATTATGACTTATACAACGTACTTTTAATTTCGTAATATTTATTTTAAGTTATGAAATTGATATGTTAGGAAGTATGGCATCGACGTTCGACATTTATTTCGAATGTCGACGCCATAGTTTGAAGAAGCAATTATGTAAACGATTTTGTTACGGCCTGATGGTTGATCTATTTTGTTATTATTTTGTAAGATTGTCGTCAAATTTACTTGATAATAACGCTAATTACAATAAAACCATAATTTTCCATGTACTTTACTGTGTGACTGGACTTTGTTATGGTTAAGTAAAAGTCTGTGATATTGTATAGATAGTACTCTCTAGTCTGTATGATCTCATTATAAAATGTGGAAATATGTAGAATGTACATTTTGTAGTATTTCACTTAAATAAATATTTATTTGTGAGATGTAGTTCTTTCTTTGAAACACCTTAGAAGACCCTTTATCCCAATCCATAACTGAGCTCAACATTTTGTTCATTAAAGTTGGACATATTAATTTATTATTTAGATCTAAACAGTTAAGATATGGACAAAACAATTTATAACATAGTTTAGATATTTCAGTAAATTTATTGAAACCATCCTGCTAAAAAATTCTAGAAAAAATTAAAAAAAATAATTTAAAAATGGTGTATACAAGAGTAAAAAAAGTATTGTAGTTTTTATTGAACTTGAAGTTTGATTTCAGGGTCTACAAATCATGAGCGGCTCAGGTAGAACACTATATACAGTCATATATATTATATATTTTGAATTATTACTATATTGTTTTTAAAAACAAAAATTTCCAGCATTTTTAATTACATTCCCTATTTTGTTAAGTGACAATTAAAAATTTTAAATGTGTAATCTAATGATACATGAAAAAATATTATTATTTTTATAGATTTAATTCATTGTGTTAAATACCTCATTAAGTAATTGTCTATAATCTTTTTATAAAGAAATACATTAGCTCATAATTATAAATCAATATCGCCATACTTTACCTCCAATATGGAATAAAAATTCCTTTGTATGTACAAAATAATATTATGATAAATATATTGAATGTGTGTACATTTTCAGTGTAGCAATGGCCACTTAATGTGTGCCCCTTGCTTCACTCATCTACTCGCGGATGCACGCCTCCGCGACGAGACCGCCACCTGTCCCAACTGCCGGGTGGAGATCTCCAAGACCTCAGCTTCCAGGAACCTAGCTGTTGAGAAGACGGTATCAGAACTGCCTTCAGAGTGCAAACACTGCACTCGGGTGTTCCCCCGCCACTCGCTCCAGCATCACGAGGAGAACGTTTGCGAAGACAGGTAAAACATACATTTTATCTGATTAGATTTAAAAAAGAAACTTGTAAGGATTACATAAAGTAATTGACGTAATTTTTATTGTATCACATCATATGATATACAGGCCAAGTCCCTATTAACCCCGATTTGTAGTTAAAATCCCAACTTGAACGTCCTTTTTTTATTTATAATTAAATGAAACTATAGTACACTATGATTCTATTATTATTGCAAAGTAAATTATCAGACACGCCACTCGAAACTGACATGCAGTTTCGTCCCCAGGCCTTACAAGTTTTCCCAACTGGTAGTAGACTCGACCCCGCGTAACCCGTTCGCTGGTTTGGTTCGCATTGTGACCAGTGTGTACTGGCTCCTGGTGTCCGCCTTCAGGAGGACTTACTTCGTGTCCGAGGTGTCGGAGGCCAAGCGCCGTAGGTACAGCAGGTGCGTTGCGATGGCGCGGGTGACCGATAACAAAACGCTTCAAGCTTACCATAATATGTATATAGATATCAGAGGCCTACGAATTTTAATGATATTGGGAAATGTGGCGAATTTTATGCAAACGTTTAATTTCATGGTGGTATGTGTTTCACCCAGTGCCGTGGCTACCACAGGTATCAACCCCAGGCGGTAATCGATGTTATCATCCCCCAACCCTTAAAAAAATGTATGAGAAATCACAGGTGTCATTCCTAAACAGCCCGCAAATCAAGAAAAGACGCTTTTTAAAAGGGAATATGTATGATTTTTTATACATTTTTATACCTTACATTGTTATATTATAATTTAAAAAAATGTCCAACCTTAAAAAACTAAAATTTAGTATAAAAAAAATCGTACCGTTATGGATACTTTAAACGCTCGCCGTTTTGCGCGCTCGGCGTGACGTCACAGTATGATGACATACACAGTAAATGACGACTCAATTTGTTAGCGACAAAATCGCTAATCGCTCTGTTATGATAACTCTGACGTCATATTCGGTCTGACCAATGACGTGCGTTTCTTCGAAAGCGATAGAGATTATATAAAAAAAAGAAAATTTAACCTTTATTTAAATCACACGCATATTTCCTATTTGCATGTGGCATAATAACAGGTGTCACCCTTGATTGGGTGTCCCTTGATATAACAATGCTGTCAGTGTAAGCACTTTAAGTTTAAAGCTAACGCCCACTTCATCAAGAATTAAAGCTCATACGCTTTTGTATAATAAAATACCTGTACTGTATTCTTCTATGGAATAATTATTATATAGACTCTTATATACGAGATAGAACGGACTTCATTATGGTTTCTAATGTTATTCAAACTTGTATTAAGGTCCTCGGTTTTTTTTTCACTCAACTACTTTAATTTAGCTGGCGTCATCGAAATCAATTTATTAATAAACTAGATGTATGATGATGATGATAACCTTATGTAGGAGGTTGAAGGTCTATATAAAAGCTTATGTAAAGTATGTTAAATGAATAATGTAAATACTTTACTATTAATATGAAGGTTATAGTAATAAATTAACAAATTAAAGTTATTTATAATCTATATTATACATTTATAATATTAAAGGAAAACTAAAATTATTTAGTTTAAGTTTATTGACATTATTCAAATTTAGAAAGATAACAACATTAAGGCATGTTAAAGTTCATAATACAACAGGGCCGTGCCTGACGGGCGTTCATTGCGTGCACCGCACGCAGGCGGCCGAAATTAAGAGGCGGCCAAATCGTTACAAGTTGTTTACTGGGCAAAAATACAATCGGTTTGTTTTCATTAAGATACGAAGTAAAAACAGTTTCTCTAATCTAATCTATCTAAAAAGAGTTTCTCAGAAATAAGAAATGTATAAAAACTGATTAGGTCGTTGTAGTATTTATATACCTAGTCCATGAACGAATTAACCACTGGACCAGACATATAAGCGGACGTACCTTTAACGGTCATGTCTGTAACCAGGGAATTTTAGCCTAGGTCGTTTGTTTTTTGTGTCAGTCTCAAGCACTTACTTGTCAACAAAACATCTCCCAAAAATGACTAAATGTTCTGTTAAATGGTGTAAAAACTATAACGGCGGAAGCAGCACTATTTCTTTTTACTTGTAAATACATTATTTTATTACATTTATTGTTATTTATCACAAAATTTTTGGTTTTGGGAACAAAACCAATATTTTTTTTCGTTCTCGATTTCGGTTAACCAAAAACTGATTTTTTTCCCGGTTTGATGCCCTGTGTATAATAATAAACATTAAAAATTAAAGTAGTTTTTTTTAATGTTATCCTGGGGGCGGCCATACAGACTGGCACGCAGGCGGCCATATACCCAGGCACGGCCCTGTAATACAATAATAACATAATGTTCATGATAATGAGTATTATAATTATTTATCATTAAAGTATTTAATTTTGGCAAACTGACAAATTGCCATGACTTCTTACACTAACTATAATGTGAACCAAACTAATGAGCATTCAACTTAGTATCGATTATTATCTATACATGTAATAAAACTGTAGAAGTCGAATGTTTGTACATAGAATTTTTTTAACTAAAAACCCATTCATGGATAACAAGAGAAATAGAGCAAATCCAGATTTTTTCAATTTTTTTCTCTGTCTGTTTGTACGGGCTAATCTCTGAAATTATTGGAACGATTTAAATGAAATTTTGCATGGTGGTACCTTATATCCCCGGTCAACATTTTAGATACTTTTCATCCCGGAAAATTAAACTTACCGTGGGATACCCCGTTGTGCTTTTCTAGAGGCGAACCTCAGCGAAGCGAGGGTGAGCTGCTAGTATATAAATTATAATAATCTACATATTATCTATCACTGTTTTTCAACTTGGTAATCGTGTCCCCTAGAAGTAACAAGTCTTCCGTATATATACGAAACATAATACATACATACATATTAAAGAATTTTTCATATTAAATTGTGATCATCGTGAGCATGTCACGACAGCAGTGGACTATGATTTAAGGCACGAATGTGTCGTGGTCAAATGACACGTAAGATTCTAACGGATGCCATGTATCTGGCGCTCATCCCTAATCTGTGCCTAACTGATTAATTCAATTATATTTATAATTCGTCCAACACGTCAGTAATGATAGGTACCTATGTGTTTGCGAAGTTGTGTTTTTTATTCTTTAACGTTGAAACGATAGGGACGGATTTGGATGAAATATACTACACAGATAGACGAATATAGCCTTTTAGGCGTTTAGAGATGCACCCGAACGAAGCAAGGCTAACTCGCTAGTTCGCAGTCACAACAAAGATACAGATCTGTCTGTCAGAGCATAAGGCTACAGTGTGTCGCGTGGGGTGCCTGCAGGGTGACGGGGTGCCGCTACGCGTGCGTGGGGTGCCGCTGGCGCGGCGCGGCGCGCGCGGCGGCGGCGCACGCGGCGGCCTGCGCGCACCCGCGCCAGTGCGCCGCCGACCTGGTGGAGCTGCTGCGCCAGCGCGAGCAGGACGCCGCCGACAACCTGCTCGTCTACACCCAGCTGCTCGATCTGCTGTCCTACGAGAAGATCACCTTCAACGGTAATTGTCTCTTAACTCAGTTTTACGAGCTTACACCCATCTGTTGGAACGGCTGTCTTGTGAACAGATTAATTTTTATTAACGCGAAAATTTGACATCAATACATACAATAAAATTCTGAGTCAAATCTATACATTAAATATATTTTTTTAAATATTTTTTATTATCTATAGTTTTTTGAATGTCTGCATGTCTGGAAACGCATCACGTGAAAACCACTGGACAGATTTTGATAAAATTTGGTATAATGATAGCTGGTTATCCGGATCAACATATAGAACACTTTTTACTGCGGGGAAATATCACTCTGAGAAATCCATACTAACCGTTAAAACGTATAATATCGACGAACCCAAGCGAAGCGAGGGTGAGTCGCTAGTTGCAATAAAAGCTAGGTTTTCTATGTGTAACTTGGAGTGGTACTGATGTGTTGGCGCAGACCTGCAGCTGAAGCCGTACCGCACGGAGGAGCTGCACAAGCTGTACTACGAGACGTCGCGCTTCGCCGCCTTCGGCCACCAGTGGGTCGTGAAGGCCTTCGTCAACAAGAACCAGCGCGACCCCACGCAGAGCTCGCAGAGGGAACTCACATATCAGGTACGCTTTTTAAATATCTACTGAGTGCTATGTATTGAAATTGTGTTTTTTTTCAACGTTGGGTACTGCGGTAGGATCCATGGCCGGGGGCGGCTGAGAATAAGCCTTGAGAGTCTATGGATTGCTTGACTTGTTTAGTTGTTATTGAGGATTTTGTAAATGAATTATTATAAAATCTACAAAAAATATCATGATGAATAGGTATGAACTTCATACTTAAAGACACTACGGTATGTATATATGATGTGGACACACACCGGCTAGAGAAGCCAATACCATCCATTAAAACCCAACAAAATCTCCCTCGTCTTAATGAGGCGTCGAAGGTCTGCCGGAGCAAAGCACAACAACCATGTTGTTTCTCCCACGGTCCACTCTGCTGTCAGGGTACCAAGAGCAACCCGCATGTGTCTAGTGCGTTTCTTGGGTTCGCACCCTTGTTGGGTTGCCTGAAATTTTGAACTATAATTAAATTTATACATATTTACTTACAGTTAATTAGATTCAAATATCTCAACTTTAAATGTAAATATTTATCTGATAATAATAAGGCATTATAAAATTTTAATTAATTGTTATAACGGGTTATCGTCGTGAAAATACATATTTAGTTAGTCGAGGGGTATAACTGTAAGTAACCACAAGCGGGGGGCGGCGTTGCAGCTGATTCTGAAGAGCAAGCCGGCGCCGGCGCAGGCGGTGGGTGTGTCGTGGCTGTGGGTGCGCGGGCCGCACGGCGCCGCGCGCCTGCGCCCCGCGCTCGCCGCGCACGCCTTCCGCGAGGACGAGGCCGCGCCCGCCGCGCCGCTGCCGCTGAGTGACGCCGCCGACACCAACCGCCTGCTCGCCGGCAAGGCCATATACTTCAGGTGACGCGCGCACACACGCACAAACTGCCCGAGTCAAATCTTCAACTTCAATTTTTCCTAAGTTATCTACTCTGTGTAAATAATTCGACGTCTCATATTTAAGAAGTTTTATTTTTAAATAACAAACATTTTTATAGCAGAAAAAAAACAACAAAAAATTGTGTTTTAAATTTATTTTAAAATGTTGTATGTTCTTATGAAAAAAAAATCAAGATTATCTACAAAACTAGGCACCCATTTAGATCTCAACTCTTTTGCCGGTGAAGTTGACAACTAGGCATATTTTTAATATCGAACTTGGCTCCCATTTTCACATTTATGTTTTTGATGGGATAATATATGTATATACTATAGATCTCAGTAAATTTCTTTCTGTTCTTATAAGTAAATTTTGTATCGATCACGAGTATTTTACAGACAAATCTGACTTCCAAACGGCTGACACCCAGAAGACAAAAAACGAATTGTGACCGGGGTTCAGAACCGCGTTCAATTTTTAATCCGGTTTTGGTCATTAACCCAAAACAGAAAGACTTTTCGGTTTAAGATTTCGGTTACTTTTTTTAACCGGTTAAATCCGGGAGAATGGTTTTTGACGTATTTAGGTTTTATGAACAAAATTAACCGGTTAAAATGAGTTTTTGTATGTATGTAGTCTCTTTTCTAATGGTGAATGACTTAATAGAAGGATGCATGCGCGTTTCTTACTTATGAATGAATTCACCGGTTTATTTCTGTATCAAAACCAAAATCCAACTTTTCTCTAAGAATAACCGTTGTCCGTTAACCATTATTATTTCGGTTTACTTAACCGTTCCTTTTCATTAACCGGTTAAAGAACGAGCAAACGAAAGCTAGTCTAGATACCAAGTAATAATTACTAAAAACTATCGTTTTCTGTTTCAGACTCATCATGTTCTTGTCGCCTAAATGATGCTCCTCGAAGACATATATAACAAATCACTTTGGGCTTACCAAAGACCGATATTATATTTTTATACACCATATTAAAATAGTTAGAGAATTGAAAACCCCATTTTAGATTCCATTTTAGTTGAAGTGTTGTTAGATATTGGGTTATGTTTGCATTTTAACTGTGATCGCTATATTTTTCTGTCCTACTCTAAAATTTTAAATTTTCGTGTAGTTTTTTATATTTTTGTCTCGAATATAAATTAACATCAAAACTTCTCTTATAAATAATTATTTTGAAATGTAATAATCCTTTATTATTCCTTCATAGAACCTCCAAATGTCGTGTAGTGTATAAATTATAAATATAAGTAAAAATTATGATTATTAAATTAATTTTAATAAACTATTGGCTAAAAATCTATAATATATGATAACGAATATGATGTAAATAAAAACAGTAAAATCTGCTACAATATCTAATATTCTTAAATTACGTGACCTGTTTACTGCTAATGAAAGTGTGACGGAAGCTGCAGTGAGACAGCAATGTGTCTCTATTTTCATACTATTCGGCCCACTGTCAATGAATAGGTATAATTTAATTCAATTTCCTTGTTAATGGCTTCAAAACGTGTCAGTTGATTAAATGAATACAATAAAAAATAATTTTAATCAAATATATATATATATATATATATATATATATATATATATATATATATAAATATAATATATATATATATATATATATATATATATATATATATATATATATATATATATATTTATTTGCGTATCATAAAATTCGGGAATGGAACGATGTTTGATGATTAGTAAAATAACCGATAGCTGATGTATATTTTTGTAATCCTATAAATTTGAGTGTGTTGATTTGTTTGTAATTCTATCACGATATAACTTTTTTTTTCATAGAAATAGTATATTTAATAAATTGTTTCACGTGAGTAAGTATCTCTTGCAAAATTTACTTAGGGTTGCTAGTTTTAATTATAGTTTAATATTTTTCTATTTTAATAATTTAAACGTTTGCGCCTGATAGGCCGTTTGTTTTTTAGACAGTTGTGCCGTTTTTTTAAATCGTTCAATAGGGTCGAAGCCATAATATATAAGCTGTATATTTCACTTTTGTATATTTGAATATATTATTGGTCTTTTTTTTCAAAAATTATAAAATAATGTAATTAACACCTAATAATAATAATAATAATACGATATTAAATTGCACACATAACGAAAAAAAAATATGTAAAAGATAATCGAAATGTAGTCAAGGAGAAGATTTGGAGGTTATAGCTGAGTACAAATTTTATTTAAGAAAATTAGTAGCTAGAGAAGACTTTACGGACTGACAGAAATGGGTACCTTTAGAAATATATATTTTAATATAAAAATCAAATATTTTTATTTCTAACATATTATTTGTAACGTTTTAGACCGAAGCACAATGGGTGCGGTTTGTTTGTTTTTGTTCTAATTTTATTAGTATAATGTAATTTTAATTTTTACTCTGGGATTTAAACGAAGTGCTATATTAATAAAATTATGGATACTATTTCGAAGTTTTATTTTGTTCTGCACTCCACAGTCCACACCAGCTGTGTCGTATAAACACAACATTGAATGCACAACCACTTTGAATATTGAATGCACAAAGTGCTCTAGCACAAATGTTTTCATAAAAATTCCCGAGTTTCCGAGCCCTGGAATAAGTTTGGGAAATTAACATAATATATATTATAATAGATATTACATATATATCCTATAAATTACAATAGATGTCTAAAATGTGATGATGTGTGTGATTCTAACTCTTAATATATAAAGCTGAACAATTCGCTTGTTTGTTTGTCTAAAAAGTGATAATCTTTATATCTAAGTCCTATTTCGATTTTTTTTGCAATTAGGTTGTAGGCAATCTAACATCACGATATGACTCAAATTGAAGCAAATTTCTAAAAAGCAATCAAAATAATTAAACAGACTTCAAAAAAATACTAAAAAGTAAAAAATAACTGAACGGGAACTTAATAATCTAAGTGTATCATGAAAATGTGTGCATTCAAATATGTAAAATATAACACCGAAAATTTCAAATTGATTTGAAAGTCCAATGTTTTATTATTTTCTAATGAGGATATTTTTTAAATTGCCTCGATGTAGTGGCTAGCATGTACGGCTGCACACTCGGAGGTCCTGGGTTCGAGTCTCGGGTCGGGCCAAGTTTAGTTATCGAGTCTTTCTGTATAGCAAGTCTCAGTAGCAGCCCGGAGTTGGGAAGTTGGCGGTGTTTCCTCCCCGTGCCTCGGAGAGCACGTAAAGCCGTCGGTTCTGCGCCTTATCTCTCACTGGTCGTGTCTCGTGTCGTCCCATCGGAGTATGAGAGTGACAGGAATAGAGAGTGCACGTTGTGTCTGCGCGTACACTTGTGCACTATAATATCTCCTGCGCAGTTGGCTAGTCTCAATGAGATTGGCCGCCGTGGCCGGAATCGGCTAGGAAAACATCATCATTTTTTAAAAAATTTTGAAGTTTACTTCTTAGCTGCATTCCTTTTACAAACAGATAGATTTGACATACTGGATGAAATCTTTAGCTATTCTTGTTCTGTTACACCATAGAAGTAAGTATAACTTCTTACGAGCGTACATAAGTCCACACAATACACATAATATGGTATTTTATTCTTTAAATAAATTAGAGTACACTGCAAGATCCTTTTTTTATTTATCAATTAGACAAAGTACATTTGTTAGAGCTAAACACGGAATTTTTCTTTCATTCTTAGCCTATTTCACAATTATTTCATAATTTTTTTTTGGTATATATGATGATTGCGGTGTATGGTAAAACCCAAAAGGTACTAAAATGGTAAATATAGTTGATAAGGTGAAATAAAACAAGATTTGAACGGTCAGTAAGGTTTATGTCTGTTGTCGTGCAGCCGGAGCCCTGTGGGGACCCTCTCTCCGGCCGCGCCCGCCGCGGCGGCGGCTGCGCCCCACACGGTGACGAAGCCGGACTCGCCCGCCGTTATTAATACGTCCTTCTGAAATTGCATAATACATGTTATATTTATAATATGTATGTATTTAAAATTATATATGTGTAATGTATCAACTATCTGGAATCCATACAACACGTGGAATACATACAAGCCTCGTAGCTCACCATGGAACTAGATGGCGCGGTGTGTTAATGTCCCAATATAGTTATTTATATATTCATATTTATTTAGTAAAAGTAATCGTTTATTTATTACAGTAATTTACACTAGCTTTACTCTGCGAGTCTCTAGGCTAGTAACGGCCTATCTGTGTGCTAAATTTCATCTGAATCATTAAATTATAAAAAACACATGATAATTTATTCAGAGGGACCATTTTAGGGCTCCATAACTGAAAGATGTCAACGGTACTTTATTAATAAGCCTCCGCTGTCCATTCATATGTGTGTCAACAGGTGTTGTATCTCATGAACGTAAAAGTAGAGTTGAAATTTTCACAGAGTATGTATTTCTATTGCCGCTTTAAAGACAAATAATAAAAACCAAGATGGCGAATTTTAAAATGGCCGCCATGCAAATACGATTGAAGGATTTTTTTAATTATTTATGTTAAAAATATTATATATACATAAAAAAGTAACAAAGCGAAAACTTTACATGAAATATTTAAAACAAAACAACGACTGTTGCACTTACTTCTTCATCATATGAGCAACATCTAACTATCTGCTTGTTTTTGGCAAAGTTAGTGGTGGGTTGCAGTTTCTTGCCAGCTTCTGTGACTGATCGCAGAACATTCCTGAAATCACATATTCTTAAGTATTAAACTAAAAAAAGCCCAGTATATGTATTAAATCCTTAAATTTAGCTGATACAGATTCTTTAATATTTTATAAAAACAACCAGCACTACTTTTAAATTCACAAACAGAGATAAAAAAAAACATAAATAAATGAAAATTCTATTATATAATTTACTCACCCATCTCCTCCGTAGGAGCCAGCCAGTATCACCGTCTTGTCATCTTTCGATTTGTATGTGTCCACCAAGTAGCAATCATCACCTCTAAGTCTCTGCAAAGTACATTATCAATACAATTATTTTATTACTAGCCTACTCACCCTCGCTTCACTTGAGTTTGTCCCTAAGTATGTTTTAACAGTTAGTATGTAATAGATAGACTATATATTAGTATACATATACATTGGTATGTTTTCTTATAGAAATGAGATAATCTTCCCCAGTAAAAAGTAGCCTGTGTCACTCTCCAGCCCTCCAACTAATGCCAGACAAAAAATCAAGCCAATCTGTCACTCTATTTTGATGTGAAAAAAGGACAAACAAACACACATTCACATTTATAATATGAAAATATGGGTATATCAACATTATCTACACTTTTAGGCATGTTTAATAATTTCATAGATAAAAAGAAATTTAATTTTTTTAAACAAATTAAGACAGTGAGCAGCCTATATACCTTAATACTTCGAGCCACTTTATCTCTGCCATAACTTTTAATTAAATCGCCAGTGGATGCATCCCACAGCTGCAAGTCATTTGATTGTGTGATACAAGACACTAGACTGTCATTCAACCAGGTAATCTTTTCTATAGAGTTCTCAACATTCAGTGAGTATGTGAGAGCGTCATCTTCTGTAGTCTCTAGTATATTGAAAATATTGAGAAGGCCATCCAGAGATCCAGTTGCTAAGATTTCAGTTTTGTCCTTATGAAATTTTACCTGGAATTATAATATTTATTACTTAAAAATACTGATAAGTACACAGATAGGTAAGCCCTTATGTGTATTCATATTTTTACAAGTTCGTATAAAAAGATAAATAGTTATACATATTTTTAACATATGTTTTGCTAACATATATATCAATAAAATTTAAGGAATAGAAGAAATCCATATAAATATTTTTCTATACCTGTGAAATATCATCAGTATGTGAATTCCAATATCCACCCAAAGGTTGTAGGGCTCTGTTGTCCCAGAATACAAGAAACGCATCTTCTTGAACTAGCTGACTTCCCGCACAAATCACTCTACCAGTGCATGAAACATCCATTGCATCATATGGCCTTGATGGTGAATCTTCTTCATCTGGATTTGTTATAATTGCAATATTTAATAATTGAATCAATAATAAGTAGAATGTAGGATTTCTTTTATGTTTATTTATCCATATATATCTAATAAGGTAACAAATTTTGTACTTTTTCAAAGTTTGTTTCAATGTAATAGCAATTCCTAATTTTAGCAATTCCAATTTCCAACCTTCATATTTTTGAACACATGTTCCACCTGTCCTTGTGTCCCATAACTTAATACCGTCATGGCCAGCTGAATATAATAAATAATCTTCTTGTGGACTAAATACAACTTCTGTGAGAGCTTTCTCATGACCACTGAGCCTGCAGACTTTTGATAAAGATGATTTATCTAAATTATAAACTTCTATGCTATTGTCATCTAGACCCACAGCTATATTTAATGATCTGTAAACAATTTTTTATTTAATACAGTTTTAATAAATGAATTAGTTTACATATCAACATTTTGAAAATTTTTACATAATTATTTTAAATTGGAGTTGGGCACATTTTAATTTATGTTCCTTTTATATAAAATACACTTATGTTTTTCACTTACTTCGTAACTTTTAATTTGGTAATATAACTTTTCTTCAGCGTTACCGCAGTTTCTGTAAGTAAACTATACGTTTTACTAAAAAACTTGTCTAGTTCATCTGCTTCCACCGTATCCTTATCTATTTCTTCATTTTCTAATATATCACACATTTTACAAATAAATTACAAAATTCTATAATATTTAATAGTAATTTAAAAATTATAAAGGCAACGTGATTATTTAAAGCGTGTTTTTGTTGTGACATTTCGTGTCATTTTCCTAATAGACAGTTGTCACTTGTCAGCATGGATGTTGTCGTTGCCTATAGATTGAATTAAGCACTTTTGAACAGAGTATAATAAGAAGTTATAACAAACTAGCGACTCACCCTCGCTCCGCTCGGGTTCGTCCTTAGTTACGTTTTAACGTAGATTTCTCACTCTCAATGATGAGATATTTTCCTATTGATAAAAAATTAAGGCAGTGGTAGCCCAGTGGTAACGCGCTCGCTTGGGAAACCGAGTGAAGCGGGTTCAAATCCCGGGTCTCGCACCTCTGATATTTTCATGTGCGAATCATTTCTAACATGATTACCACTTGCCTTACGGTGAAGGAAAACATCGTGAGGAAACCTGCATGTCTGAGAGAACCTAACAAGTTTTCGAAAGACATGTGAAGTCCGCCAACCCGCACTTGGCCAGCGTGGTGGACTATGGCCTGATTCCCCTCGTACTGAAGGGAGGCCCGTGCTCAGCAGTGGGACGTTAAAAAGGGCTGAATACATACAAAAAATATCCTATATTTTGACGACTTCGAAAATATCTGATTAGATATCTATTTTAAATGAAAACCACCGCTTAGTTATTTTTTACATTTTAGTGCCTGGAAGTCGGTTTTTTTTTTAAGTTTTTATACTAACTTCGAAGTACGGAGTCTTTGTTTTGAAATTCGAGTTATAAAGTAGGTATAAATAAATATATATTACTAGAACCTCGCAGGGAAATAACATTTTGTTCGAGCTACAAGATACCGCGTATTTAGGGTTTCAGCGGAAGGGAATGACAATTTTTTTGGTGTTACTGAGGATTACGACTTAATGAAGTTCGAATTATCGAGATTCCACTTATAATATGTATAGATTACCTTCAGTTTGCTTTTGTTATTACAAATGTTTTTTTTGTTTTGCCTAATTTTTCTATACCGATTTTAATAAATAGATAATTTTGATAAGATACGACAAAATGAGTAGTCAGTTTCACTGGTTCCATTTTACATGGTTAATATGTTACATACTACTAGTATAGTAAGTATTACATGATCTGTGATCACATAAAGGTACTGAATTAAAATGGACTTAGAATGCCTTAATTAAAAAAATAAGAATATTATGTACGAGTATAACATTGTTTTTATTTATTTATGTATTTATTTAGTTTAAAAACAAATAAAATGAAGCTGTATGTATCATTTTAAATTATATTTAACATACTTTTTAAGCATAACATAAGAAAATTTTATTTTAATGAATAAATAAAGTATTTTATTATAATTTATTTATATCTTCGCGCTCCCTTATATCTGGGTCCAACACGTTCAATGTCCCCCGCGGCCAGCCTCGCGACGAGACTGCGCAGCGGCAGCGGGCAGATTGCACTCAGCTCTGATGTTTGGTCTGAAAATGCCCAACGAATGTACCGTTCCATACGGATGTGATCTGAAAATAATAAAAAATATTAGACTAACTTTTTCATACAAAAATTTTAAACATGTTCAAAGCGATTTTAAGCGAGAATGTAACTTGTGACCTTAACATGGCTGCTAGTATCTGAAAAGCACGGATTCACATCATAGGGGCTACCGACTAATTAAGTAGACCAGCATATTTCTTTTTTGAAAAATTAAATATAGCGACGGTTGAATACGATCGAGTAAATATTTTTTTCAACAAAAATAATAGCGATCAATATTCACACGAAAAAGAGCAAGCATTAAGCAATGTAAATATGAATGTAAAGCGTGACCTCACCTATAGCAGGGTCGACAATAGCAAAGGCGCGTTTCAGGTTATCAACAGTGATGGCCTTGTTCGCGTGCCGGCCGCCGAGCTCGGCGACCACTTCACGTATGTATTTATCTTGTGCGAGCTGTCGCTGCCGGTACAACTCCCGTGCAAGCTCAATCCTATCGAAGCCTTCTTCGTTCTAAAACAAATCCGGCTTGAAGGACCAGAAATACACATTTGTGTACGATTTAGGGCTTAAATGTTAAAGTATGACTCTGCAATAAGTGTAATTTAATGCCATTAATGTGTTTGCTTATTAAAGCCATCTTATATGTCATTAAAAGATTTTTATCCCAAGAGACAAAAAAAGGTACAGGAGATTTGGGACCTGTTCAACTAATATTCATCGACAAATAGAAGACTTAGGTGTGTGGGATATTGGCTAACATTATAAATTTATATTATATATATATATCTTTAAATAAAATTTTAGGATCTAAAATGAATAAAATATACCTCATAGAAGAGTTTGTCTAAATTGATGTCAACAGCGTTTAATTTCAGTTTGAGCTGCTTCTTCATGACGTCAGTGAGATTTTTTATATCTACTTCGTTCTTCAAGGGGAAAGTTGCTCTGGTAACCTTCTCAAAATCTTCTACTGTTATAGTCTAGAAAAAATATATTATTATCCTATAATATTTTCATCCTTTGTATGGTTACTAGCTTTGGCCTTGACTTGTAATATGACTTGAATCGATGTACTCATAAGTACCTAAATTGAGCGAAGCCTCAGACATAAAAAACAGTTCACATAAACACTATTATGTAACACATAAACAAGTAGAGTTACCCCATAGGTGACATGCTCACTTAGATATCCAAGTGAAGGGGTGTAAGCCCGGGTATCTTAATATCTCTGAAATTTCCATGTGCTTTCAATCATTTTTAACACGATTGTCTCTTGCTAATACAAGGAAGGAAAATATCATACGGGGAACCAGCATGAGTAAGAAGACTTAGTTACTTTTCGAAAGACGTGTGAAGTATGGTAACTCAAAGTTGGCCAGCGTGATGGATTATGGCCTGATCCTTTTCCTATTGAAGATAGGTCCCTAGCTACTTAGCAATGAGACGATAGAAAGAGCTGAATACAATAGACATGTACATTGTACACAGATATAAAGTTTCACTTAATAAACGGGCGCAGGAAAATCATAAACCTACATGTATGAGAAGACAACTAATTTTCGAAAGTCTAACAACTCTGAGACTCTCTGTCTGAAAGTCTGAATTATTATGTAATTACTAAACACAACGCCACAAGTGTACCTCGCCATCCCTACTGTGCCTGTAGAGCTGGTCGCGCAGCGCGAGCCAGTGCGCGCGCAGCCCCCAGTACACGCCCTCGCCCAGCAGGCCGTGCAGCGCGCCCCAGAACACGCGCACCTGCGGCTCGTCTAGCATCTGCTCCGCGCTCGCGCACAGGTTGTACGCCCACTCCGCGCGGACTGACGGCTGTTGGTACCTAGTTTAACGATTTAAACTGGCACCAGAATTACCCAGAAATGACGGAGACACGAATCGACCAAAAATAATGTTGAGGTAGAGGATTTTAAGCTCTTGAATTATATTTTTGGGTTCTAACAAAGCGCAATTTTTTTTAAGAATAGCATCTTGGAATGTAGAAGTTATGAATTTCAACGTTGTCGTTGATTATTTAGAAAGGTAATGGGCTATAATTTATTAACATTTTGCAAACATTTTTGAAGTCGGAAATATCATTTCTTCTGGGGAGTGGGGACGCAACCAAGCGGAGCGCGGATAGTCCACTGGAGTAATCTAACCTTTACCTTATTTTATGATGTAAAACGGGATATTTACTATGTTTCTCACTTACTTTTATAAGTTTCCGATGTTTCAGCACTATAACAAGCGCCATGGTCACAGGTATACTCTTTATAAAATAAGTGAAAATCGTGGTAAATATCCCGTCGATCCTACCATGAAAGGTTAGTCTAACCAACCTATCTTCAAAGTATTTGGTGACGTAGTCCTGCAGTGCGAGGTCCCGCGCTTGCGACCGCCCCGCCCATAGGTCGTTGATGATGACGCTCACCTCGCGCCGCGACAGGCGCAGGTTGCGCACGCGCCCCTCGTAGCGCAGGTACGGGGGGACCACCGGGTCCGTGCCCTAGAGGATCGTGTGTTTTGGAAATAATACTTAGCTTATACCTACTCCCTGAATATGAAGTAGAGGACCATAAATTATTTCTATGCAAGAATCACGCTAATCCTTTGCTGCTTAATATAAAGGAGAAATTATATATTATTTATACATTTTATTTATTTTCAGTATAACTAGAACATCTTGAGAAGTTTCCTGAAGGAATGCCATAACAAATCTATGTTTAAGAGTGAAGAGAAAATGTAGAACTTTTGCTAAAAAAAGTAAAATATCTACTTTATAATTTTATTGGTTATAGTTTCAATTTTATATTTTAACTAGCGGCTCACACTCGCTTCGCTCGGGTTCGTCTCTAGAATAACACTAATAGAGATCTATTAATTCCCACGGTAACCGTTTATTTTTCCGGGATGAAAAGTAACCTGTTGTTTGACCAGCAATATAAGGTATCAGCATGCCAAATTTTACTAGATTAGGTACATAAGTTGTTGTGTACTAAGCTGTATAAATTGTTATAGTTTTTTAACTATTCCACGGGAACTCTTTAATTTTCCGGGATGAAAAGTATCTAAGATGTTGCCCAGGGATATAAGGTACCACCATGCAAAATTTCATTTAAATCGGTCCAATAGATTCGGAGATTAACCTGTACAAACAGAAAAACAGACAAACAGCTCACTCGGGTTCGTCCATACCTACGAATATGTTGTATTATATCTTTAACCATTTGTCCAAATTATATGCAGTAAAAGGGAAAAGTCTTTTGTTTTAAACATTTTAGACGACAAATTTACTTATTTTGATAAGAATTCATATTTGTTGATAATATAACCAATAAATATGACCTACCGATTTAAATTATTTTTTTTATATAAAAATCTACTTTTTGTGACTTAAATATAAAAGTTAGACATATGCTGTCGCTGACTTTTTTGTTGGCTAGCTAGCTAGCTCTACAACTTTTTTCTAGAACATAATCATATATCTCTCATCGTTAAGGCAGCGTTCGTAAGAAACTTTTTCGATCGACCGTTTTTTCTCCAACTTACTTTGCAAATCCGACTACCACGAAAAAGTTTTTTCATTCTTCGGGTTAATATATAACCTATGACACTTAGAAAGAACGTGGCTTTCTATTGGTAAAAGAATTTTGAATATCGGTTCAGTAGATCCAGAGATTACCCCCTACAACATCACAAACTTTACCTCTTTATAATATTATTATAGTATAGATCAAGAATATATATATATCAAGAATAAATAATAATATAATATATAATCAAGAAAACTCAATACTAACAAGTCCATCAAAATACTCCAAATGTTCACTCTCAGCAGCTGGACCAAGTTCTTTCAGTAGCACCCTGAGCATGTCCCGTGATGATAGCCCACTCGCGAGTTGCCACCATCTAAGAATAATAAGCGCCTTTATAGATCCAGTGGAGGATTTACCAGCAGGCTGACTGGGTTTAAGCCTATGGCGACAAAGTTTAGGGGTGGGAAATTTGGATGTGGACCAGAATTTTTATTTTAGCCGTCTTAAATTACAGAAATCTGTAAGTTTTCAGAATTCGGAAAATTGAGCTTTGATTAGCTTAGAAATATACTCAAATACTATTTCTTATACAATTTCAATTAACTTGTTGGGTTGAAACATTATGATGGAACTGACAATTACAGAGGTGAGTGAAGTCGGCAAAAATTTAACAGTCTATACTTAGGAAATGTGAAAATTCGCCTCTGCGCCTCTAAATAAATAAAATATCATATTTATCGAATTGATATGATGATGATCCCTCCTGAGCGACTTCAGCCATGGCGGCCAATCTTACCGAGACTAGCCAACTGCACAAGAGATACTATAGTCCACAATTGTGTGCAGACACAGCGTGCGCTCTCCATTTCTGTAACTCTCAAATTCCAATAGAAGGATACTTCGACACGACCGGTGAGGAGCAGGACCGATGACAGTGTTATGTGCTCTTCGAGGTAAGGGGATGAAATACCAACAACTCCGGGCTGTTACCGGGACATTCTTAACAGAAAGACTCTAAAGTTATTTAGACCCGGTTCTCGAACCCAGGGCGTCTGGATATGCGGCTGTATGGCTGTACATGCTAGCCACTACACCACCAAGGCAAACAGAGATTGACGTACATACATGTAGATACATCCAGTTTTCTATCTGCTACATTAACTCAGTACTTCAAATTAATTCATATATGTAGTACCTTTTTATTTTAGTAAATTGACAATTGCCCCATATAATCATTTCATTTCATCTCAACAAAGTAATAAAAATTCAATCCAATCTACAAACCTGTCCCGGCCCCCACCAATGAAGTCCGCGCATATCTCCCACTGCGGCCGCGGCGTGCCCGCGCGCTCTAACTCACGACACCTCTCCTTACACTCCATCAGCTCTTCGTCTACTATTTTCTTTAAAGCTTTCGAAAATAAATATTTGTTTTTAAATTAAACATGACGAATTATGTAATTTGGACGAATAAAGTATATTGTAAAATATATGTACAGGTCCGGATTTACCAGAGAGTAACGGGGGCTTCCGACCAACAGCAGAAAATTGTTGGTATTATGTATGCAATATTTTTAATACATTTAATGTATTATAAATACCTCCTTCAAATTCCTTGTTTGCCCCGGGCCACCCACACTCGTAGATTCGGCCCTGTAAAGGATATGAACCTCACCTAAAACACGTTTATACGTGCTCTGCAATCCTTCATGCTCAGTATTTAAACTATGGAACTTTTTGGAAAGCTCGTATAATTTATTATCTAAATTATCGTACTCTCGTCGCGGGACCGTCTCCGCGTACTCATCTGTTATTCTCTTCAGTTCGTTTTGAGCTGTTGATAGTTGTTCCCTAAAATAATATAATTTATAAAAAACTAGCTCCATGTTGTCTCGTTCCTAAAAGGGGATCGAAAATTAGAGAAAAATCAAGTTAAGCAAATCACAGGCTTTTTTGTTAAGTTAAAAATTTAAACTAAAATTTTAATTCATGAAAATTTTTCTAGATCAACAATTTATCTATAATTATAGGTAGGTATATACTATCATAACATTTTACAACCATTTTATGAAAATATGAAATATTACACGTACATAAGAATAAATTATACGAGGCTTTAATATCACCGTTTTAGTGTAGAGCCATTTTAAAGTCTTACCGGCAGCGATCTAATGCTATTCTAAGTACAATGGGATCTCTGTATGCATCATCTACTGAATAACTTCTAGAACTTCCGTCGAGCTCTCGTAATTTTAGTTTAAGAGCAACATTTTCAAAGTAAAGTGTGTATCTCGCATCGCGCTCCTTCATCAATGTTAAGTAATCAGAAAATTTATTATCTGTATGCTAAAACAAGTCCAAATGTCATAGAGGTCAGAAAGAGACAAAATATGATTGTTTCTCTCTTTTCTTTTTTTGACAATTTGTGCGCGGAAATTGGAAAAGAAACAATCTATGATTTGAATTTTATTCTACAAATTAATAATTATATTAATATATATGTAGTTACATATATGTAGTATTATAAATAATAATATAGCAAAAAATAAGGTGTGTTATGTAAATAAAACTTCAGAAACAATTTACAATATATATGTAAATATGTAATATTAAATGACATTCAATATTATCAAATCAATACATATAATAAAATTGTAACTAAGTCGAATCTGTACATAAAATATTTTTTGGAAAATCTAATTGAAATAATAGACATTATTATCGATACAGAGTCCGAATCTAGTTTTTAGAATTTTTGTCTGTCTGTTACCACATCAAAAGAAAACCACTGGACAGATTTTGATGAAATTTGCTATGATGATAGCTGGTTATCTGGGTCAACATATAGGATACTTTTTACTGCAGGAAAATATATCATTTCTGAGAAAAAATACAAACACTGCATTGTAAGAGTATACTTATATGTAAAACCTAAGAATTTGGTGAACGCGGGCGGAGCCGCGGGCAATGCTAGTACAAAATAAACAGGCTTTACCTTGCCTAATTCTTTTTTTAATTTTGATATTTCAAAAGATAATTTTAAATTTTCTTCTCGCAAATCCTGATTTTCCCTCATCAACAGTCTCATTTTATCATCTCTTTGTTTCTTCCTTACTGATATTCCAAAAACCTTCTGTAAATAGTTTATATAAAAATGCCTATATTATTATTATTTATATTTAAAATATAAACAATGTTTTTAATTTATTATTATTTATTACTCTTATTAACAAGATTTTATTTTAACAAAAACATAAAATGAAGAAATCTATTTCGAAGGAAATTTATTCTTGAGTATTAACCAATGAAAATAATTATAATATATTTATTAATTAAATCGATTAAAGTCACAACAATTTGTATAGTAAGTTAATAATAAAAATACACATTTAAAAAACATATTTATCTTAAAAATGAAAAAAAAAACAAATATATTTTTTCAGTACATTTAAGAGAACTTTGGAGTCCAAGTTTGGACTTGATTTCTTATACTTGTAATATCTTCAGCATATGTCCGACAACATCCTCCAACAAACCTAACACCAAGGTCCAACCAGTTATGGACAAATGTATCCAAAGTTTCACATTTATCCTTATCAATCCACCCTTTTTCTGGGTTATATTTTTCACCAGAATTTGGATAGGTAACTATTGGTATTGGTGGTTCTATCCCCTTACTTACACCACTAATTAAGCTGGCTACAATCTTTGGAGAACAACAATTTATACCAACAGCAACTAATTGCTCTGGATTTGTCTGCCAACAAGTTCTCACTACAGTTTGAAAATTTTCACCATGAGCAAGACTAGTATCATCTTTACAGCTGAATGAAATCCAGGCTTTCATATTTGGAAACTCTTTTAACATATTAATAAGAACTAAAGCTTCTTTAAGACAAGGAATAGTTTCAAATGCAAGTAAATCAACACCAGATTTGACAAGTGTTTCTATGCGAGGTCTGTGCCATTCGGCCATAACTCTCTCAGGTGTTTTATCAGTATAAGCACCAGTATATTCTGAGCCGTCATGTAGGTAAGCACCATATGGGCCGACAGATCCAGCAATGTATATATCACGATGCAGTATACCATTTTGTACACATTCTTCTGTATACTTATCTCGTGCAGATTTAGCCAATTCCACAGCGTGTTGTATAATTTTATATGCTTGATCTTCAGTTACTCCAAGATGTTGAGTAAATCCTCCAATTGATGCTTGGTAAGTATTTGTACTTATTACATCAGCACCTGCTCTTATAAAATCTAAATGTGCTTTCGCTATGTCATCAGGGTTTGTTTGAAGGAATTTCGCACTCCATAACGGATCTCCGTCCACAGTAGCACTCACATGACGAGATATTTGTGATGAGAAACCTCCATCAAGAATATAAACTTTATTCTTTGAAGACACAAAAGGCGCCATTATATTTGTATTAGTCAATTAAATGTTACTTACAATTATTATATTGTTTGATAAATTAATTATTAAATAACAATGAGATAAGGAATGAATATGTAAACAACTGATTCAAAATTTGATAACAATAATATGACTATGTCACTGTCAAATGTCAATTCATATATTTTTAAAACCTGAAAACAGTTCAACATTTTATTTTCAATTTTATTCCAATCGGAATCCGGTTTAGGAACAAAATATTGAAAACCTGAAGGATTATGATTTTAATATGTTAGCAGGTATATAAAGAATAGAAATTCGTAAAATGCCCCCGTTGGCCAGCTACCCCTGAGAAATGGGGAGACGCAAAGCGTTGAAAAATAGTTTTTTTTTCAATTTCTGGCTTACTACGACGATCTATCGAAAAATGTTTTCTACAAAAGTTGAAGTTATAGTAAAAATCTACAATTTTTATAAATAACACTATTTACAATAACCAAAGTTCAATGTTTTCGAGATATTTGCAAAAAACTCGATTTTTAATTTTTTTCATGATTTTTTAAATATCATTTCTAGATTATTTTTCTGATTTTCACGAAACTAAAGGAATCTAATCTTAGAAATATATATAATAAATGAAAAAAAATTGAAATTGAAATGCTTAGCCATTTCCGAGAAAAGTATGTTTTATGGTCTCGAGAGGCTGAAAATCCCCCCCAACTTCAAGTGGACGTTTGCATTTACAAAAAATTCGTTTAATTTTCAGATAGGGCTCATTCTTTTCGTCTTGAACTCTACTTTTTGAAGAAATACGTACGTGAATAGTGACTTTATAGATCGAAAGTAGTAGTAGGAAATCTACCTACGGCTAATTTCTTTCATGTTAAACTCAAACTAGACTGAATCAAGAGACATATTCCTGAAATTTAAAGACAAAAGACCTACCTTCTATGTTAGTCATTTGGCGGGACTTTAGAAAACTAATTAGGTTTTCTCAGTCGTCTCATGTACCTTTTTCCTCACGATGTTATCGTAAGGCAAATGAAAATCAAGTAGAAAATGATTCATGCATGAAATTTAAAAAGGATAGATCAAATTATCCTCGGAACTAATTATTAAATAATTAATAATTACTTTATACAGTTGAGGTTAGTTTCAATAACAGTCACTACGGAATATAATTGCTGCGAATATATAAATTTAAAATACTCACGTCCTGCGTAATAAATTGTGAAATCCGTTCATCTCGTATGCGTACGGCATTTTCATATGCATTTTTGATTTTACAAAGCAGAGAAGAATGTGTTACTGAATGTTCAATTAAATTTTGAAACCCTTCTTCATAAATCTTAAAGCATTCAATTAATCATAAATTATTTCTGATAATAATAAAATATACTTAATAATAAAATATATTACCTCGAGTATCTCGTCAAAATACATCTGTTTTATATCTAATAATTCAGTGTTAGGTTGTCGAATTAATTTTAGCTTGGATTCAATTTTAGATTCAATATTTTTAACATATTTCGGTGCCGCACTTGGCATTTTCAAATAATTGAACATATTTCACGTGGAGAAGAACGAAACGAAACGTTATCAAAGTTTATCATTCAATAAGTGATTTGTTTCTGTAGTAACTATCCTTATCAGTGCTTAGTAAAGAATTATCTATATGGAAAAAGCTTTTAACAGTAAAAGTTCATAAAATATTTAATACTGAAATTATGTATTAAACTTTCAAAACTTAAATATCTTAACTATAGCAAATTATAGTTATTCAGCATGAACTCATGGGGTTGCAGCATTAAATCGGTCTTATTATTACAGCATTCTATTCGCAGTAGAGAAGTCAGAAGAGAAAGGGTCATGCTATCCTTTTATTTAATGCCTCCTCAGATTCAGTGGGTTGTAATATGATGTGAATATATCCATGACCACACCGCTACTTGTCAAATCCACGCGCTACTATTGTTATGTAACATTTTAGACTAGGATTTTTTGTAACTCAAAAATTAATCATGGCTATCGTCAAATCTATAGATTATCAGTTAAAGTTGAAAAATTTTATGGGGGTCGAACATTTGTATTTTTTTAACCGACTTCCAAAAAGGATGAGGTTCTCAATTCGTTGGAATTTTTTTGTTTCATTTCTATGATCTATAAATGTAGGAGTTTCCCCAATATCTATAGATCAACTTGAAACAACAACTTGTTCCTTTTCCAAGGAGGAAATCGGAATTACGTAAACTTTTGAAACCAGCAGATATACGCTATGGTTGGAGTTGGAGCTGTGGTATTATATTTCAACAAAGATGATAAAGACCTTTTAAATAAAAAAAATTCAAAGATTGATACGATTAGTCTTACCCAAAAATTCATTACTTCTAATTCTGTTCAACAAGTTTGATTTTAGACCAAGAAATATAATTAGTTTGTATGCATATGTTGGGACTGGGTCTATTCTGAAAATAGATCATAGAAGCCATAGGAAAATGTTGATAAGGAGATCATATTTATCTATTGGTTGTTTTCGGAACAATAGAAGGTCATAAGAATAATTAGTCACCTAATACGATGTGTGGTAACTATTTTAAAGAGTTTTATCAATTAGTTTACTTTATTGCCTTATTATTATTGCTTTATTAGCGGCTCGCTCTCGCTTCGCTCGTGTTCGCGTCTAGACGAACAAAAACAAATCTTTTCCACGAAAACCGTACATTTTTCCGGTATAAAAAGTAGCCTATTTGTTATTCTGATATATGGATTATATTACTGTAAGGTTTCATTAAAATCCAATTAGTAGTTTTTGTGTACTAAGCTGTATAAGTTACTATAGTTTTTAACTATCCCACGGGAACTCTTTAATTTTTCGGTATAAAAAGTATTTAAGATGTTGACCGGGGATATAAGCTAATACAATACAAAATTTCATTTATATCAGTCCAACGGTGTCGGAGATTAGCCCGTACAAACAGACAGAGAAACAAAAAAATATATTTTTTTTAGATTTGTTTTATTTCTCTTCTTACATCCCCCTGACTCGGTTTCTAGCAATTTTTTTCTATGTACAGACATTTGACCTCTACAGTTTTATTATATGTATAGATGTAAATTATACTAATTTTGAGATTTATAACTTAATTATTTTTGTTTTCTAATAAGCTTAGAAAAATTGTTGGTTAGTAGAATAGATTAATATATTTTCATTTTATTAAGGAAATAAAGTATTAATTATCATAAAATGAGCAGTTCTTTAAAGTAGTCATAATCATAAATTAGTAATCGTCTACCACAACAGATTTTTATTACGTCCAACGGCTCAATAGCCGTTAATGCATAAATGAGCAACAAATACACACTCCATTTATAACATTTGTGTAGTGCGTCTTTCACATTGAAACACATTTCATCATGTATAATTTTCTTTAATTTAAGCTTGTAACAATCCAAGAAGACAATAATGTTAAGATATCCCCTTTTTAATTTACTTACTTTGAAAAGACAGTATTGAGTTGCAGCAAATTTATTAGTCATACATTTTTGCACTTAGGCATTCTTTAGTGACCGTTCAACTTTATTCTGAAAGCGCTAATAATCAGCTATAACTCGCGTCATCTAAAAAGAACGCTGGAAGAAAGTGGAGAGGGTATGTTTGCGCATGGGTACCTATACTCGCGCACAAAAGTACTAAGCCTATTATTTTATTTTTCACAACATTTCGCTCGCGGCTTCATATATTGGTTATTGGTAGGGATATTGAAAAATATATTACATAGAATATCATTAAATAGAATTCTATTCATAATTAAAATATGTTTGATTCAGTGTAGAATGTTTAATTTACTTACAAAAAATTAAATTAATACGTTTTATATTATTTTTTTAATTAATAACTGCATTATTATCAGACTCTCTCTTTGTAAAACAAGCGAACGAGCCGCCCCGCGCCCCGCTTCTAATCACCAATTTGACCGATAAATCGCTTCTGCGCAGCTTGATAGCCAGCGTTCTTTTAGATGACGCGAATTATAAACGACTAGCAGCTCACCCTCGCTTCACTCGGGTTCATCTCTAGAAAAGCACAAACAGATCTATCCCACGGGAACCGTTCATTTTTCCGGGATAAAAAGTAACCTGTTGTTTGACCGGCAATATAAAGTATCAGCATGCCAAATACTAAATTAGGTGCGTAAGTTGTTGTGTACTAAGCTGTATAAGTTACTATAGTTTTTTAACTATCCCACGGGAACTCTTCAATTTTCTGGAATGAAAAATATCTTAGATGTTGACCGGGGATATAAGGTACCACCATGCAAAATTTCATTTAAATCGGTAAATTAAAAATATGTTGGATATTTGGAGATTAGCCCGTACAAACAGAAAAACAGACAAACAGCTCGCTCGGGTTCGTCCATACCTACGAATATGTTGTATTATCTCTTTAACCATTTGTCTAAATTATATGCAGTAAAAGGGAAAAGTCTTTTGTTTTAAACATTTTAGACGACAAATTTACTTATTTTGATAAGAATTCATAATTGTTGATAATATGACCAATAAACATGACCTACCGATTTAAATTATGTTTTTAATATAAAAAACTACTTTTTGTGACTTAAATATAAAAGTTAGACATATGCTGTCGCTGACTTTTTTGTAGGCATTATTAAGCTCTACGACTTTTCTCTAGAACATAATCATATATCTCTCATCGTTAAGGCAGCGTTCGTAAGAAACGTTTTCGTTCGACCGTTTTTTCTCCGACTTACTTTGCAAATCCGACTACCACAAAAAAGCCTTTTCATTCTTCGGGTTAATTTATAGCCTATGACACTCAGAAAGAACGTGGCTTTCTATTGGTAAAGTTTTGAAAATCGGTTCAGTAGATCCAGAGATTACCCCCTACAACGTCACAAACTCACAAGATCACAAACTTTACCTCTTTATAATATTAGTATAGATAATTATAATTTTTGTTATAATTGAAACCTAGTCTGTTTTTTATCTGTAGATACTAGCTTATGCTGCCATCTGTGACGGGCTTTTGAACTACTGGATGTGACGTCATTGACAGTCATGAATTACGGAAATTAGAAATGGCTGCAATGGGTAGTGGACGGGGGACGATGGATTCCCAAAATCAAGTGCAAAGTGATAATTTAGATCGTTTAAAATTGCTTTATCCTAATGTGAACGAAGATGAAACACCCCTGCCAAGATCCTGGAGCACGAAGGATAAATTCAGCTACATCGGGTTATCGCAAAATAATCTGCGAGTGCACTACAAAGGTAAGTTTCAAGGTTTGTTTATGGATTAGTTATTTGCGAAACTCTATATGATATACTGTAAAGTGGCTTTAACATGCATATTATAGTTTTATCTAGCGTACAGGATTCCTAGATAATCTGACGTGTCAACATTTTGTCGTTATGTTAGGCGCTAGACTCTGCCTCAAACAAAGAAATCAGCTGATCGTATATTTTGTAACAACATGCGAAAATAAATGATGGCTGTATTTATTATGTTTAAAAACGTAATTAATGATTTATTTATTTTATTGTTCATGTTATCTTTATTTTAATTGAATAAAAATCGTTCGATACATTACAAGGTCTCTCCTCAGAAATGGCAGACAAAGTTACGATTTATCATATCATTAAAATAAACACTTGTTACAAATGTAGGCGTGTGAGGGTTTGAATAAACAATTTTATTTGAGTTACTGTATCCCTTTAATCATGTGATTGTAGTTAACACAAATATTTGTATATTTTAAAATGTATTTGACGCGTAATTATACGTAATTAAACTTACAACTCCAAAGTAAAATTAAAGAAAGGATTTCATTGAAATACATTTATAAAATAGGTAGCTTTTTATCTGTATTAACATGACTGCTTAATTCCATATTTGCCTTTTTAAATGAATATCATTGTGAAACTGAAACTAATGGCCCCTGTGGTGAATAAATATTTCTTTTTAAGGTATATATAGTATATTTTTATTTGATTGTATATACAGAATTAAATTAAAATTTTTGATAATTTGATATTTTTAAAATAGTTAAAACAATTTTTAGTTTGTTTAAACCGAAATGGAAATTTCTATACAAAATACTTAATTACATGTATCTGAATAATTCTTGAGTATGCTTTTTAGATATGACTAAAAAGCTAACAAAAATTTATATATTTATTAAATAAAATGAGATGTTCTATGTGCCATATCAAAGGTATGTCTTTTATAATTTATGGTGGTAATATTGATATTGGTAAGTCACCAAATTGTGTGTCACCAGTAGATAAAACTAGTATACATAATTTTAAACACTTTTCTATTCAGTTTTTCTTTGAAAAATTTATAATTTATTTAACTAAAAATGCCAATTTTTAAACTTAATCTGAACATACAGCTCTAAAGATTTAGCTTAATAAAAGAAATACTTGAATGTGTGCAGTCATAGACATAATAATACTTTTTTTTGATATATATAATGCAATTGTTATCACTTGAAGTAAATTTCTATTGATAATGAAAAAAAAACCATAAAAGAAGCAGTATTTGATAATATAGATAAAAATAATAATTAACATAGCGTTGGATTCTCAGCTGTTTCAGTTTTATGTTTACAAAGGAAAATTACTTTGTAAGAAAATCTATATTCTATTTAAATATTTTATTTATAAATGCGGATCTTGTATTATAAATGCGAAAGTGCTTTGAAGGTTGATTCTTCCTACATGCACTAATTGTGTAATGGTCTGATAGTTTTTTATACTTTGCATAGTTATATTTTATAAGCCAGACTGTGTCTACAATATTTTTTTAGTTAAATTAAAAAATATTTTCTTTTCTTGGTTATAATTAAAATAAAGAATAGTTAAATATTAACATAAACTCATAATAAGCTAAAAAAAAATAACAAAACTAAACTCATAAATTAAAAAATAAAAATAAAAAATATCTAGGAAATATATATTTCTATGCAAACTTACTTCAACACTACCTGCCTTCTGCTTTGTGTCTGCTTAAATTTTTATCCAAAATTAATAGTTTGTCATATTGTAGCTATAAAAATATGTAGACTGTTTCATTTGATCTTTTCTATTCTAACTTAATCTATGTACGGACTTAATCCTTTAACTGAATAATTGTAAAATGTGCAACATCAAGCACAATATATAGATATACAGTACATTATGTTCGCAGTATTAAATTACTGGCATTTGCAATTGGATCCTAATGTCTACTGTTCAATTTATGGCAACGGTGTGCAGATAAAATTAAAAATTACTACAATCTTTAATCTGAAAGTTTTTCTTTTATATGCTCCCATATTTAACAGCAACAGAGAAAGGGGAGGATATGATGTTTTTTTTAAGATACATATATGGAGTGCATGGTAACATTTGGGGTAACTAAGTAACATTACTTTTTATTGTGATAGATCAATCTTTGGTTTAAAACTTCCTACAGAATATTGCAAAAAATTCAAAAGTTGCAGATTTACAGTAAATATTTTTTATGTTGTAGGAGTGCTAGTTCTGACCCAAATACAAAAATATGTACAGATAGACAGAGATGTGAAACAATAAAGATATTCTACTGTACAGATCCGTATACTGGTATATGATTGAGAATGTATTAACACATTCTGCTAAACAACATTTAGCAAATTTAGAAACAATTATAAAATACACAGATACCTGTAACTTCCAAGACTAACAAACAAGGAAAATACTTTAATAAGCTCGGGGAGGATGAAGTAATTAAGTCGTTATGTTTTATGACATGTATGCATGTTTATTCGATGTTAGTGGCATACAGCAGTCTTGGTTAGGTGATTTATACTATATTTCATTCAAATTCTTTTTGGTCATAATTTTATCAAAATTTATTTAGCTACTAGTCCTTCAGCTTGAATGCTTTAAGAATGCATGAAAGACAAACGTCCAAACAACTTTTATTTTGCGCCAGGAACCTTCGCAGGCGGATATCATAATCCACCAGGGACTCATCACAATCCGATCAATGGCTTAGGAACTCCTAAATGACAAACATACAAACATTCATTTTTATTTATATACAAGATTTTTATTTACATACCTATAACTAATAGATGACTAAGAGTAGATAAGTTGACTGCATTTATTTGTATATTATATAATAGACTAGCCACTTACCCCCGCTTCACTCTGGTGCATCCCTAGGTACGTTTTATTTTTGTTGAGCGGAACCGTAATTGTTTTTCTAAAATAAAAGTAGCCTAAATTACTCCTTATAACATCACCTATCTGCCATTGAAAGTCCTACCAAAATAGTCCAGCCATTTCGGAGATTAGCTGGAACAAACAGACAGACAAAAAAAAATTAAATGGTGTTTTTCTTATAAGTACGTGTATAATTTGATATGCATTTAGTAAAAAGATAAATTTTATTTATCTGTATAGATAAGATGAATTATAGTATTTTTTGGTTTTGTCGGATTACAAAAAATAGCAATTAGTCTGTATGCAGTTCAAAATACACGATATGATTAAATGTTCACTTTCTATCAAAACTATCTACTATTTATATATACCCATTATTTAAAAGACTATTATTTTAATCTAAATATTCATAATTTACTAAACTTCATGGAAATCCATACTGCAGCTTCACTTAAAACATAATTTGAATATAAATTATGTATTTTTATGTAAAGAATTTTCGTTAAAACTCTATGTAGTGAATTTTTAAGCAGTGAGTACACGAAGAATCGAAACATACGGCAAATAAATGTTCTAAAAGTTCTTTCATTTCCCATTTAAATCAAGTTGTTATTACGAACGAGGTATTTATTCAAAGTTTTCTTCCTTTAATTTCCTTCCATCAAAGTTTGTGAAACTTCAGCTTTCGTCTTTTGAATTGTTGAAAAATAGAAGGTATTGAACGTTTGTCGCGTCGGTTGTTGACCGCGGGTCCATGTCGGTGCACTAACCCTAGTCTAGACGCGGGCCCTAAAAAGATGAGGTCGCCCTTCGTCCTTTGTTGTCTGGTTAATTTAGATTTTACGTACTCGATATGATACGTCTGTCTAATGAATAAGCTCTATAACTTAGAACTGATCGATGTAAATAAAGAAATAATACTGCTTTGCTACGACAGATAGGATATTGATTTGCAATTCCATATTTAGTAGTAAAGTTTTGGTTTAACTGAATCTATTTATTTGGCATGGAGTAGATTGTAGATAAATGGATTATACTTAATTTGTATTGGACATACAGTTATTTTCAAATGTATGTAGCGTTGGAATTACAAAAATCAGCAAAGATAGAGTGATCAGAGAGATTTTGTCTGTACTAGCAACTTAACCTTGCTTTGCTCGGGTTCATTCCCAGTGAAAACAAAAACAAATTATCCCACGGAAACCGTACATTTTTCCGGGATAAAAAGTACATATGTCCTATTCCAGACTATGATTTAAATCTGTGCCAAATTTCATCGAGATCCGTTCAGCCGTTCTGGCGCGATTGAGTAACAAACATCTATCCATCCAAACTTTCGCATTTTATGATATTAATGGAATCACCATAATTATATGTAAAAAATTAACAATGGAGTTAATGATCCGCTCAGTCATAGAAATCTATGGCTTGGAGGCTTTTGTTTATCGACCTCCCACGCGAGCAGATTATTCACTTGGTACAGATGCTGACGGTTTGGTAGTTATTTACGTAATTTTTAGTCGATATAAGCCAAAAGATATTTAAATGTGTATAATAAAAGTCTTAAAGTAAAATAATTTAATTTTAAATAAAGTGCAGTTTTGCATTGTTTGCACATACTAAGTGCTCTGTCGTCAATTGTAAGTAATTGGTATCGATTTAATTCCTTGAAGCCGTTCCGATTCATTTAGTTACTAGGCATCATCAAATACATACATAACTTATTATATACATATGTATGTTTCCTTTGATTATTTTGTAATCTCAATGACGCAATTGTTGTCAGCTTTTGTGCACGAAAAGTCATAAGTTTGATTTCGGGAGCGTAATGATGTAGTAAAACTACACTCGCTTAGACGTTTTGTTCTTTTTAATGTTATGTTATCTTTATTTTTGAATGTATGGAACACTGGTATAGGGGTATTTCTATTTTTTAACATAGTTTATCTAGCAACGTTACGAATATATAATTAGATTTTTTTAAAATGCAATATTTTACTTTTTAAAGGCAACCGAAAAGCGGTAAAAACGTATCGGTGGCGAGCTCGTTTTGCAATCATATTAATACGGCTTCAGAC